ATCTACCACTGGGAATGTATTCCATTTACGAATGTGAATGTATTCCGTGTACATCTGTGAATGTATTTCATGTACCAAAATGAATGTATTCCATGTACCAATGTGAATTTACTCCAAGTACCAATGTGAATAATCTACTGGAAATGAACAAAGAGTAACTTGTTGTTCTGCGTGGTACATTATATGAATTCTTTGCAGATTGTGGTAGGCATATGGAAATGGTTTTGTCGCTTTCCTTCTCAGTGAAGGATTTTCAGTGCTTTAAGCCGGAGCATACATGTATATGATACAACGTACACAACAGGTAACAAACATCCTGTATAGCCCACACCCTCTCCACATATAAAACCTATTAATAAGCAGTTGAGTGTACGATAACTGCAGAACATTTCACCATAAGTCTGCATTCAACAATATTGATATCAGTGTTATTGACGTTGACAGTAAAATCAACACAACGCCCTGATTATCTTGAAGAATCTGACGCGGCAGTGTTTGATTCCCTTAATGATGATTGCCGTACCCTCAATCACTCTGCGTTATGTGTGCATATCCCAACCTTGTATGCGCAACTGAGTCTGTCAATATTGATAACACACGCGAATAACCCGAACGAAAGCCCTATGAAGAAGCTGATTCTGAAAAGTGAAAAAAAAGACCAAGTTAACACACAATGTGATCATAGCCCGAAGACAACGAGTGTTTATGTCTGGATCGTGGACTATGCATCATTTAAAAAAAATGTGGTGAATAATTGGTCCGGTATTTTCATAAAGTATAATAAAAACATTTGTGCTTTATTGCTTTACTTACTAATTATACAAACATGACCCGGGAACTCCAAAAGAGTTGCACAAAATACGGATAACTAGTTTTATGTATATTACGGTATACAAAATATAATTATTTAGATGCTTCTCGTCACGAACCGCCCGTTCTCCAAATACGTAATCAAATAAGGTGGGGCTGAAGAATACAAGTCCACGAAGGTCAGTACCAAGTGTAGGACCTGGCTATAGACGGCACTCACTATGTGTTGTGTAAGTGTGAATGTAACAAGCCACATTCAACAATATTACATCTGCATCACACTGGTCTGTAAATCAGGTGCGTGGCTACATGAGCGATGACACATCAGCCGGCTCATGTATTTCAACCACCCGATCTGGAATATTGTCCCCCATCTTTGTGGCAATCTAGCATCCTACTCCAGCTGGGAACAGATCTGGCTATACACTGATTAATGAAGCGGTAGGACAAGACTGGATGAAACATTTCAATCCCATACGTCACAACCTATAAAACATTGAATTACATTATTTCCAAATTATGCCATCTTACAAATCGTGTTCAAATATCACGACAGACACATTCATAATTACATTTTGTAAACAAATATACCATCTTACGAATATGTTTGTACATTGAAATGAAGTTTATAAAACATGTACCATCTTACGAAATGTGCACGTTTTTGATCATGTTTTGTAAACAAAACTCCACCTGATACATCATCACAGACACCAAGTTTTATAAATAATTTACTATTTTATAAAATGTGTGTATATATCACTACAGACTGATAGGAATCTGCCAGACCATAACAATCAACATAAGCCAATGCAATACATATATTTCCTGGAACTCTGCGACTCTTGGAATGGTCGTTAATTCCAGGCTGATTCAATGACTGCTGTACGTAGTGTCAGCTCACAGACGGAGGCAACAACATTGCCACACCGCATCTCTCAATTCTTCAAATAATATTCGTTTCTTTAGAATTCCGTGGTCCAGTAGTAGAGCGTCCGGCCGGAGAGTGGAAAGTCCGGGGTTCGATACCCGACCGCGTCATACCAAGAGACGTTACATAATGGAACTTGTTGTTACCCTGCCTGGTCCCTGGCGATGATGGACTAAAACAAAGACAGGTCGGTTCGGAGTCAGTATACTGTGCCTGAGTGGGGCATTCATGTTTAACTGCTTCTTCCCGAGGCAAGTGAGTTAACTGACTATGAAAGTCCAGTTTCCACCCTTGCCGAACTAGGCTGGTATTATGGAGTTACATTTTGACTGGACTAACTTGTCTATGCATAGTCCAATCAAAATCGCACACCGAAATCGAAATCCGGTTCGTAAACTATCGTGCAGATTTCGGTCGATTGCAAGATCTGCAAAGCATGTGCACTGCCAACTCGTTGTCAGCAGATATTTTCCAAATCTTTTTATGTTTTTAATCAAGGAGCTCACGTGATTTGGTGCATTTCGGGATGTAAGACCCGTTTTATCACAATATAGATCTTGATTATCGATCAGAACGTCCTGACTGGGCGCCACCATTTTGGGTGAAGCAAACGCAAGTGATACGAGAGGTGGAATCTCACTTGTCCGTAGGAGAGGCTTAGAGGGGACATAACTGGTAATAGCCACTGGTGGCGCTACGATCGAACCCAGTAATTCCAGCCTAGTTCGGCAAGGGTGGAAACACACACACACACACACACACACACACACACACACACACACACACACACACACACACACACACACACACACACACACACACACACACACACACACACACACACACACACACACAATGCAACACATTGCATCATTCTTGAGACGTATTGTCTGCAGCTCAGATCATGTTAATGAGGCATCTTCATGTCACGATATGACATATTGTCTGCAGCACAGAGCATCATCCATGGGATATCGCCATGTCACGATATGACATATTGTCTGCAGCACAGAGCATCATCCATGGGATATCGCCATGTCACGATATGACATATTGTCTGCAGCACAGAGCATCATACATGGGATATCGACATGTCACGATATGACATATTGTCTGCAGCACAGAGCATCATCCATGGGATATCGCCATGTCACGATATGACATATTGTCTGCAGCACAGAGCATCATCCATGGGATATCGCCATGTCACGATATGACGTATTGTCTGCAGCACAGAGCATCATCCATGGGATATCGCCATGTCACGATATGACATATTGTCTGCAGCACAGAGCATCATCCATGGGATATCGCCATGTCACGATATGACGTATTGTCTGCAGCACAGAGCATCATCCATGGGATATCGCCATGTCACGATATGACATATTGTCTGCAGCACAGAGCATCATCCATGGGATATCGCCATGTCACGATATGACATATTGTCTGCAGCACAGAGCATCATCCTTCAGGCATCTTTAAGCCACGAGTTTGATTGTACACAACGTACTAATGTGAATGTATTTCATGTACCAGTGCTCACGTATCCCACGTACCAATGTGAATGGACACCGTTTATCACCGTGATTGTAGTGCATGTACCATTGTGCATATTTTATATTCAACTGGAGAATGTATTTAATCAGCCATTGTGAATGCGCTGAATGTATTCAATGTGAATTTTTTCTTTGTATCTCTGTAAATGTACCCATGTGTACCCATGTGTATCCCAAGTACCAATGTGAATGTACTATATGTACCAATGTGAATGAAATAAACAAGGATTGACTAAATGTCCTGCCTCTTACATTGTCTTACTTCTTTGTAGAGATTTCTAATGAGAGGAAAGGTATCAAGAAAAGAAATAAATGCCATTTAAGAATTTTTTTTTTTTTAAAATACGTAGGTGTATACTTGGCCTGAAACGTTTGCAGCCTTATCTGTGACAGAAGGTTGTTTGTCAACGTGTAAAGCCTGGAGCTGACACGATCTCCAATGAGCACAGTCTCCACTTTAGCTTTCATATCGTTCAATGTCCCCCTTCCATCTAAAGAGAGGTGTTATTATAACCTTATATAAAGTGGGTAATAATCCCCGTGCAAGTCCAAGCAGCTGCATAACCTACCCAGTGTACAAGTTGTTTGAAAGGGTATTGTTCAGCCGCCCCGACAGGTTATACCCACCCTCTCCCTTACAGCATGGGTTGAGTTCGTGAACATGTGTTGACTCGGATCGTGAAAACGATAGCACAGTAGCACTGTATGTTCCTACTTATAGGATTCAGACACACTCACTGACTCACTCACTCACTCGCTCACTCACTCACTCACTCACTCATCCACCCACCCACCCACCCACACACTCACACACTCACTCACTCACTCACCCACCCACCCACACACACACTCACTCACTCACTCACTCACTCACTCACTCACTCACTCACTCACTCACCCACCCACCCACTCACTCACTCACCCACCCACCCACCCACCCACCAACACACCCACTCACTCACTCACTCACTCACTCACTCACTCACTCATCCACCCACCCACCCACCCACTCACTCACTCACTCACTCACTCACTCACTCACTCGTACCACATGTTCCCGTGTTCATCGTGCTAACGACTCTCCTTTTTGGCAGAGATTTTTTTTATGAATATGGAAAGGTCATTGTCGCTTTCATTATTATACTAGTGTGAAATGTAATATTGATGTATATGTTGATTTGAATGTTTTAGTTAATTTTATCTGTAATATCTTGCAAAAACGTCCTGTCCTTTATGACAGGTATAGGACCGCTATCGTCGCCATGTGGCTGAAATACCAGCGTTACAATTTAACTCACTCACTCACTCTACTGCCGCACATACATCAACTACAATACGTCAAAGCCAGAAAATAACCAGTCTCGATTATCTGCGGGAAGATTCCATTGCAGATGGTAGTTAACGCGACCAGACCTGACTGTCTGCCGGGCTGTTGACCATGAAGATGGCTGTGGAGGGAATCTTTCCAGGTTTTATCCATCGTGTTGACACGTGATCACCCGATCACCTCCTAGGTTCAAAAGACCTATTCTACTCCCACAGGGGTCGTGTTACTCACGGTGAGTATATATATCGACATATATGCTAATTTATACGCAACCGAAGCACGGCTGACAAACAGATTTTCGTACCAATAAAGCGTCCTGTTTTACAGGCGTTATTCCCCCCCACGTGACCTCGTGTCAAGGCCACGCGGGCGTTAACTACGTGCAGCCGAACTTCAGCACAGTGTTCACACTCTAACCGCCGCCGCCATGTCACCATCCTGAGACACAGAGAGAGACACAGTTGCTGCTGGTTTCACACAACACTTTGATATGGACGCACGGGTGCTGTTGTTGGTCCTCTGTCAGTGTGTCGTCTCACGGAGTCACCTGAACGAAGAGTACTACTTCGGGCAGTTCCCAGCGGGGTTTGTGTGGGGGGCCGGCACCTCGGCCACTCAGACAGAGGGAGCATGGAGAACGCAGGGTGAGTTCAGATTGAAGTGAATGGTAAATCGGAAAGACCGGTGCTAAGTCGGAATTCATCGTGTGATAAATCAGATTGCATGAGATGGAAGTTCGGATTGCGTTGTAGATTAAATTCGGATCGAATCGGGTGATGATTTCGGAATGCATCTTAGTGGAATGCGTTGGAGCGAAAAGTCCCTTCCCGTTTCGTAATGTAACTTCCGATTGAAACGGATGATAGTTTCGGAATGCATCTTTTGGTAAGTCGGAATGCATGGGATGGTACGTCGGAATGCATCGTAGTGAAAGTCGGATGTCGTCGTTGTGTAAGTTCGGATTGAATCGGATGATAATTTTGGAATGTATTTGATGGTAAGACGGAATGCATGGGATCACTTTGAGTCAGTTCGGCTGATTTCCACTGGCTATGTGGTGAGCAGCTATTATTCAATGAACGTGAAGAGTTCAGGACCAACGCCATTCATTACTGTCTTGACTGAAGGCTTCCATGATTGGTTAGAGAGAAAGGTGCCATTATTAACGTTTATTTCTCTGTTGTTTAACGCCGCCATCAGCCATATTCCAGGTATATGACGTCAGTCCGTAAATAATCGAATCTGGACAAGACAAGAAAAATTAGCACAATAGCATAAAAACTAAAACGAACAAGCACGGCTTGTTTAGCTGTACATGTGTCCGAATATTGTTGATTGCGGGGTTACATAACAAACAAAATCCCCACTATTACTTTGTTAGCGTTATTAGCGTTGTCAGTTGGCTGTCTTAATTATATGTAAGAGTTGTTCTGTCAGTGTACACATGTGATATTCCGGGACGGTGGCCGGTTCTCATAAGTACACGTGATAGAACTCATTGCATAATCATAAGAAAAATCAATTGTACGATTTGGGCTGTTTCATAAGCATATGTTTATGAATCACTATGAAATAGCGATGTAACAAGGTGTTTGCGAAAAGCTGGGTGTATCCTGCCCCGTCACATTCACATGCAAATGCAATCTGTTTTCTGCATCTGAAGGCAAACTACGTGAACATATGGTACAAGTCAAGACGGGATCAATGCATCAGACATTTTGTCTATGATCCGTCAATTGTGGAAATGCATAAACAATGAACAAGAAGCAGCATGCCCCATGTTACACACAGAAAGCTGATCCATACATTGAAGAAAACAAGAAAAGGTCAGTTGACATCGCCATTGAAACACGCCATATATTAAGGTAAATATGCACATTTACGTCTAGACATTCATCTACACGACAATCCGGTATAACGAGCGTGCCTCGTGACCTGCATATCCAACTCAGTTATCCCGAACACCAACAAACCATGTACACAGCGCACGAACACTCGGTGTAAATAAAGACGACAAAATCCTTTCTCTATTCACAATTGTGAAATTTCTTCTTAAAGCAAAGTCGATTGTGCGTCTCTGACTATATTACGAGCAGGTGTTTATGAATCACTATCACATAGGTGTCAAGCCCTGGATGTCTAAATGAGTTTTAATGGCTTTAGAGAGCATGTTCTGAAAAATTATATTTTTTATCAACATTTTATAGGAATGCGTGAGAATGTCCCAACCTTGCGTGTGAGGGTGACATAGGTGAAAAATGCGTGAGACTCACGCGTGAGAGTTGGCAGGTATCAAATAGTGATGAAACAACGCGTTCGCGAAAAGGTTAGCGCATCTTGCCCCACTGGTGGTACCCGCCACAAATACAAGCAAAGGCAAGTCAATGTTCTCCTGAAAACAACACGGGAACATGTAGTACATGTCAAAATAGTGAATTGCTGGGCGTAATTTTTGTCAGTGATGCGGATATGTTTTGCAACAATGTCTCCTGTCAACTGTTATGCAAGTTTACTAGTTCACGTAAACATTGTGCTTCGTTCACACTTCACGCCTACTTGACGCAATGTTTACTGCGAGGTTAGTCATGGGATCACCGGCGGGATGTTCCATTGTGCGACTTCAGTAAAAAACATCCATATCTATACCTCAGACAAGGAAATAGTTTCGTATTTCGGTTCAGTGACTACCCATTTCAGCTCAAGTCAGATGTTATAATTTTATCATTTTATCATTAACAGTGCCGAAACAAGTCACCTGAAACTTTACATGCTGTTTTTGATTTAAGGATTTCGTTATCACTTCACCAGTTTCATAATCGACAGGGGCGGTCGGGTAGCCTAGTGGTTAAAGCGTTCACCCGTCACTCCGAAGACCCGGGTTCGATTCCCGACATGGGTACAATGTGTGAAGCCCATTTCTGGTGCCCCCCGCCGTGATATTGCGAGAATATTGCTCAAAAGCGGAGTAAAACCATACTCACTCATAATCGACAATTGAATTCTTTTAATTACTTGAATTCATTCATTGATTCATTGCACTTCATAGTTGTCTTAATTAATCTTTACTGCTGAACATTCCTAAAACATGAATTCCTGCAGTAAAATCACAACACAACGACTTCTGAACGGTGGTGTAGTGAGTGCCGTTTAACACCACAGAGCGTGCCTAATTCTTTGACTGTATATGTCAGACTTAACCTCCGAAACCATGGTCCAAGAATTTATGAGCATTAGTATAATCAATGACGTCATTTCCAGCAGTGAAGATTCTAACAGATCTTTGGTTCGGAAGAGGACAATTTTATGTATGGTTGTGTGAACTTAAAATCGCCGTTTGAAGCACCATCTGAGAACACAGTTCTACTAGTACTGTCTCCAGCAGTGGCCACGACACCAACATCATTTAGTTACTGGTGAAGGCTAAACAGTTATATGCTAACGTTGAACACTATTGTCATTAATAAGTTTGTTCTTGGATGCCTCAGCTGGTATCAAGTTTGTTCTCGTGGGCCTCGGCTTGTATCAAGTTTGTTCTCGGGGGCCTCAGCTGGTATCAACTTTGTTCTCGGGGACCTCAGCTGGTATCAAGTTTGTTCTCGTGGGCCTCGGCTTGTATCAAGTTTGTTCTCGGGGGCCTCAGCTGGTATCAAGTTTGTTCTCGGGGGCCTCAGCTGGTATCAAGTTTGTTCTCGGGGGCCTCAGCTTGTATCAAGTTTGTTCTCGGGGACCTCGGCTGGAATCAAGTTTGTTCTCGTGGGCCTCGACTTGTATCAAATTTGTTCTTGGGGGCCTCAGCTGGTATCAAGTTTGTTCTCGGGGACCTTAGCTGGTAATAAGTTTGTTCTCGGGGGCCTCAGCTTGTATCAAGTTTGTTCTCGGGGACCTCGGCTGGAATCAAGTTTGTTCTCGTGGGCCTCGACTTGTATCAAATTTGTTCTCGGGGGCCTCAGCTGGTATCAAGTTTGTTCTCGGGGACCTTAGCTGGTAATAAGTTTGTTCTCGGGGACCTTAGCTGGTAATAAGTTTGTTCTTGGATGCCTCAGCTGGTATCAAGTTTGTTCTCGGGGGCCTCAGCTGGTATCAAGTTTGTTCTCGGGGGCCTCAGCTGGTAATAAGTTTGTTCTCGGGGGCCTCAGCTGGTAATAAGTTTGTTCTTGGATGCCTCAGCTGGTAACAAGTTTGTTCTCGGGGGCCTCAGCTGGTAACAAGTTTGTTCTCGGGGGCCTCAGCTGGTAATAAGTTTGTTCTTGGATGCCTCAGCTGGTATCAAGTTTGTTCTCGGGGGCCTCAGCTTGTATCAAGTTTGTTCTTGGATGCCTCAGCTGGTATCAAGTTTGTTCTCGGGGGCCTCAGCTGGTATCATGTTTGTTCTTGGATGCCTCAGCTGGTATCAAGTTTGTTCTCGGGGGCCTCAGCTGGTATCAAATTGTTCTCGGGGGCCTCAGCTGGTAATAAGTTTGTTCTTGGATGCCTCAGCTGGTATCAAGTTTGTTCTCGGGGGCCTCAGCTGGTATCAAGTTTGTTCTCGGGGGCCTCGGCTGGTATCAAGTTTGTTCTTGGATGCCTCAGCTGGTATCAAGTTTGTTCTCGGGGGCCTCAGCTGGTATCAAATTTGTTCTCGGGGGCCTCAGCTGGTATCAAGTTTGTTCTCGGGGGCCTCAGCTGGTATCAAGTTTGTTCTCGGGGGCCTCAGCTGGTATCAAGTTTGTTCTCGGGGGCCTCAGCTGGTATCAAGTTTGTTCTCGGGGGCCTCAGCTAGTTTCACGTTTGTTCTCGGGGGCCTCAGCTAGTTTCACGTTTGTTCTCGGGGGCCTCAGCTTGTATCAAGTTTGCTTTGCGTGTCCTCTGTTTGTGTCAAATTTGTTCTCGTTGGCTTGCGCTGGTATTAAGTTTGTTCTTAAAGACCTCAGCTGTTATTATGTTCTTGAGGGTCTCGGCTGGTATCAAGTACACAAACTCAATATAGGCTTCACGTTTTCATAACATTTATCTAACTCTGACACTTTTACTGATGTTCTGGATGTGGTTTGCCGCACGTGCCCGTGTTCATTCAACTGTGTCCACTATTACCACAGTAACACACTGTTGGACTTTTTTTCGAGTGTTTGTTTTGTATCGTTTTCTTTCGAATTGTGAGCGGTAATAAGGCTAACGCTAAGATCGTGCCGGTAAGATCACATCAGTTCAATGTAATACAACCACTGGAGGCAAAGAAAATGTTATCACGACCTGAATATATATGATCATGTGTATTCTGGTTTAGTTGGATACCATACAAACGTACGGTGGCCCATAAGGGACACGGAGTCTGTTTTTCAATATTTTGATATTTCACTTACTGTTATCGTAACCTTTTGCAAATTAACACGATTTGTCTTACAAATATGAGTTAAATCATGTGTAAAGAAGATATTGAATCGCTGAAAAACGAAACGAAATGTCAAAAACTAAAATGAAAATGTCAAAAACACAAAACGAAAATGTCAAAAACTAAAATGAAAATGTCAAAAACACAAAACGAAAATGTCAAAAACTAAAATGAAAATACAGAAAACTATTTCCACCGCGGTGTTAATATTATCACCGCGGTGGGAATAGTTTTCACCTCGGTGTAAATATTATCACCGCGGTGGAAATAGTTTTCACCTCGGTGTAAATATTATCACCGCGGTGTTAATATTCCCACCGCGGTGATAATATTTACACCGTGGTGGAAATAGTTTTCTGTGTATTCATTTTAGTTTTTGACATTTTCGTTTTGTGTTTTTGACATTTTCATTTTAGTTTTTGACCATTTCGTTTTGGTTTTTGACATTTCCATTTTAGTTTTTGACATTTTCACTTCACATTTCAGCGACTCAAAAGCTACTGTTTTCGGATGTTTTTATACATGATTTATCACATATTTGTATGGCAGATTGTGTTAATTTGCAAAAGGTTAAGATAAAAGTAAGTTAAACATCAAAATATTGAAAAACAGACTCCATGTCCCTTATGGGCCACCGTACAAACGATTGTGACGACTTGAATCATCGTCCCGATGCAAGAGTGTCCATTGGCAAAAAGCAAAGCCTAGTTTCTACCCTTGCCATGTCAAACCTGATTGTGTTGGCTTGATCGTGGCGCATCCCGTGTATGACACGAGTTGTGTCCCTTGCGATGGAAACGCGACATCCAATAAGATCGTTGTTCTTATTTCGAATGGACTTCACAAAGATGACAGCCATAGGCAGACGACCTGGTCAATCAGAAAACGAAAGGATTTGAGGTTCATTCCTGACAGGCAAACAAAATGACAGATTACCACAGTAAAGATACTTATTACTGCCGCATGTCATCTTAAAATAAAATAACAGAGACATACAGACGAGTGGCACTACACACTCTCAAGAAACACTACAACATAACACGCTGCAATATGACACTGCATCTCAGTCACTGCGATAGGCGTTCATTACAAAAACATTAAGTTTTAATTAAAATATATAAAATCTGACGACTGAAAACTTTGAACCACGACACGAAAATATATGATTTTGCTTTAGCTTCAGTTTTAAATGTTTTAGAATATAATGAAACAGTTAGACAGTCTAGTTTGTATAATCTGTATTCTTCGGTGGACATGGAGCGAAAAGGTTTTTTTTGGAGAAAAGATCAACTCAGCTGACAAAGGATCTTAAAACCAGATTGATCTCAAGAAAGAATGATGTCTCGGAAATGTAACATTTATCGAATAGAAAATCAAAGGTTGTTTACATTTCAAGCGTTGACCCCCGATCAGGGTAGTACTGCCTTGATCGTTCAGTGAATGTGTCTTTGAGATTGAATGTTCTTGAATTCGCTGGTGGGTAGGTACTTCACAAAGAGTTTAGACTTCTCTTTAGCGTCTGTCGTCGGAGCCACGCGCGGTGAAAGAAATTTTCTACTGAGAGGTAACAAAAACAGTTATCAAACATTATTCCTCAATGGACGAGCGGCCGATAGTTGAATAATGAAAGATTTGCGCTGGCCTGATTGGGATTTTGACACCAAAGAGAACAATCAGTATATAGACACATTTAAAGCCAAGGCTGGGGCTTTTCACAATGTCGGAATAATAGAATGAGTTCTCACGATGACTCAGGTTTATAGTCTTGTCAGAGACTAAAAACCTGAGTCATCGTGAGAATTCATTCAGACCGCTATTCCTACCAGACCGCAATCCCTCCATCCCATACAGACCGCCATCCCTCACTGACCACCATCCCGTACAGACCACCATCCCTCACAGACCACCATCCCTTACAGACCACCATCCCCCACAGACCACCATCCCCCACAGACCACCATCCCCCACAGACCACCATCCCTTACAGACCACCATCCCTCACTGTCCACCATCCCTCACTGACCGCCATCCCTCACTGACCACCATCCCATACAGACCGCCATCCCTCACTGACCACCATCCCTCACTGACCACCATCCCTTACTGACCACCACCCCTTACAGACCACCATCCCTCACTGACCACCATCCCTTACTGACCACCATCCCTCACTGTCCACCATCCCATACAGACCACCATCCCTCACTGTCCACCATCCCATACTGACCACCATCCCTTACTGTCCACCATCCCTTACTGACCACCATCCCTCACTGACCACTATCCCTCACTGACCACTATCCCTCACTGTCCACCATCCCTCACTGACCACCATCCCTCACTGACCACTATCCCTCACTGACCACTATCCCTCACTGACCACTATCCCTCACTGACCACCATCCCTCACTGACCACCATCCCTCACTGACCACCATCCCGTACAGACCACCATCCCTCACTGACCGCCATCCCTTACCGACCACCATCCCTTACTGATCACCATCCCTCACTGACCACCATCCCGTACAGATCACCATCCCTCACTGACCACCATTCCGTACAGATCGCCATCCCTCACTGACCACCATCCCTTACTAACCACCATCCCATACAGACCGCCATCACTTACAGACCACCATCCCTCACTGACCACCATCCCTCACTGACCACCATCCCTCACTGACCACCAACCCATACAGACCGTCATGTGAGCTGCTGTTCTGGATACAGTTTATGTTTGAGTTGTTTGTCACTACGTGTAAGCTGCTGTTCAGGATATAGTATATGTTTGACGTGTTTGACAGGACGTGTAAGCTGCTGTTCAGGATACAGTATATGTTTGAGGTGTTTGACAGGACGTGTAAGCTGTTGTTCAGGATACAGTATATGTTTGACGTGTTTGACAGGACGTGTAAGCTGCTGTTCAGGATACAGTATATGTTTGAGGTGTTTGACAGGACGTGTAAACTGTTGTTCGGGATACAGTATATGTTTGAGGTGTTTGACAGGACGTGTAAACTGCTGTTCTGGACACAGTGTATGTTTGAGGTGTTTGACAGGACGTGTAAGCTGCTGTTCAGGATACAGTATATGTTTGAGGTGTTTGACAGGACGTGTAAGCTGCTGTTCTTGGTACAGTTTATGTTTGAGGTGTTTGACAGGACGTGTAAGCTGCTGTTCTGGACACAGTATATGTTTGAGGTGTTTGACAGGACGTGTAAGCTGCTTTTCAGGATACAGTTTATGTTTGAGTTGTTTGTCACTACGTGTAAGCTGCTGTTCAGGATACAGTATATGTTTGACGTGTTTGACAGGACGTGTAAGCTGCTGTTCAGGATACAGTATATGTTTGAGGTGTTTGACAGGACGTGTAAGCTGTTGTTCGGGATACAGTATATGTTTGACGTGTTTGACAGGACGTGTAAACTGCTGTTCCGGATACAGTATATGTTTGAAGTGTTTGACAGGACGTGTAAGCTGCTCTTCTGGATACAGAATATGTTTGAGGTGTTTGACAGGACGTGTAAGCTGCTGTTCTTGGTACAGTTTATGTTTGAGGTGTTTGATAGGACGTGTAAGCTGCTCTTCTGGATACAGAATATGTTTGAGGTGTTTGACAGGACGTGTAAGCTGTTGTTCGGGATACAGTATATGTTTGAGGTGTTTGACAGGACGTGTAAACTGCTGTTCTGGATACAGTATATGTTTGAGGTGTTTGACAGGACGTGTAAGCTGCTGTTCTTGGTACAGTTTATGTTTGAGGTGTTTGAGAGGACGTGTAAGCTGCTGTTCTGGATACAGAATATGTTTGAGGTGTTTGACGTGACGTGTAATCTGCTGTTCTGGATACAGTGTATGTTTGAGGTGTTTGACAGGACGTGTAAGCTGCTGTTCAGGATACAGTATATGTTTGAGGTGTTTGACAGGACGTGTAAGCTGTTGTTCTGGATACAATATATGTTTGAGGTGTTTGACAGGACGTGTAAACGACTGTTCTGGATACCGTATATGTTTGAGGTGTTTGACAGGACGTGTAAGCTGTTGTTCTGGATACAGTTTATGTTTGAGGTGTTTGACAGGACGTGTAAGCTGCTCTTCTGGATACAGAATATGTTTGAGGTGTTTGACAGGACGTGTAAGCTGCTGTTCTGAATACAGTATATGTTTGAGGTGTTTGACAGGACGTGTAAGCTGCTGTTCACGATACAGTATATGTTTGAGGTGTTTGACAGGACGTGTAAGCTGCTGTTCTTGGTACAGGATATGTTTGAGGTGTTTGACAGGACGTGTAATCTGCTGTTCTGGATACAGAATATGTTTGAGTTGTTTGACAGGACGTGTAAGCTGCTGTTCTGGATACAGAATATGTTTGATGTGTTTGACAGGACGTGTAATCTGCTCTTCTGGATACAGAATATGTTTGAGGTGTTTGACAGGACGTGTAAGCTGCTGTTCTTGGTACAGTTTATGTTTGAGGTGTTTGACAGGATGTGTAATCTGCTGTTCTGGACACAGTGTATCTTTGAGGTGTTTGACAGGACGTGTAAGCTGCTGTTCTTGGTACAGTTTATGTTTGAGGTGTTTGACAGGACGTGTAAGCTGCTGTTCTTGGTACAGTTTATGTTTGAGGTGTTTGACAGGATGTGTAATCTGCTGTTCTGGACACAGTGTATCTTTGAGGTGTTTGACAGGACGTGTAAGCTGCTGTTCTTGGTACAGTTTATGTTTGAGGTGTTTGACAGGACGTGTAAACGGCTGTTCAGGATACAGTATATGTTTGAGGTGTTTGACAGGACGTGTAAGCTGTTGTTCTGGACACAGTGTATGTTTGAGGTGTTTGACAGGACGTGTAAACTGCTGTTCTGGATACAGAATATGTTTGAGGTGTTTGACAGGACGTGTAATCTGCTGTTCTGGACACAGTGTATGTTTGAGGTGTTTGACAGGACGTGTAATCTGCTGTTCAGGATACAGTATATGTTTGAGGTGTTTGACAGGACGTGTAAGCTGCTGTTCTGGATACAGTGTATGTTTGAGGTGTTTGACTGTTCCAGGACGAGGCCCCAGTGTTTGGGACACCTACTCACGCGCACCTGGCCGCACCCGCGGGGGCGCCACCCCTGACGTCTCCGCCGACAGCTACAACCACTACATCGAGGACATCGAGCTGCTGAAGAGTCTCGGCGTATGTACACAGTATCACATTCCCCATCCCATGTACACCCAGTGTATACTATACCAGGGAACCTGTAGGGTACTGGGACGGGTACTTGAGTCCTTGAGTATCTCCACCCGACTCGTGATCCACAACTCCAATAAGGTTTTATCTGAATAATGTATATTTAATTGGTGATCGAGATGGGACATACGAAACCTGCTTCTATCATTAGGATGTAAGCGATAGGAACATACTCCGGATCCTGGCGGCTACCTGGACATTTTGTGTCAAATATTCAGAGTTGCAGTTACAGGTCACGACTGAAGGTCAAATAAAACACGATAGCTCTGCTAGGTTTTTTGAAAAGTTGCCGATCTAAAATATATCAAACATGTCAACACGTTGTAACAAAATGCCCATCGTTTTTTTTCTTCACTTGTTTCCCGCCATGCACTACAGTTGACTTCATCTCTAAGATATTTTGTTGATCAATAAGAACCTCATTAAAATCAGATCTGGCACTACGATACGATACCAACACGTTGCGAGGACATGTGACCAATGCTCCATGGAATCAGTAACCAGCCAATCAGCGTCAAGGCGGGCGAAGCATTCAAAACAACATGTCGAAAACTCGAAAACTACGGAAACTTCCGAAAGGCAGTATTTAGGTCTGCGGTGTATGTACACCCTGTCATTTCTGAGCGCCAAGGAGTCTGTGTACTCAATTTACCTTTTGGCTGACATCTGAATCCGATCCAAGTTTCCTTTAGATTGTCAAAGTCAACGTTTGCCAAGATGTTAAAATGTGAGACAGACAGTACAACCAAAGCTCATATATGGGAGCTTCCGATTCAAACGCCCAGTGCAAAACCAGTGCGTTCTATCTTATATCTGCGGAAAGCCACATCGCCTAAATTCCCCGTGCAAACTCACTCACTCGCTCGCTCGCTCGCCCGCCCGCCCACCCACTCACCCACCCACTCACTCACTCACTCACTCACTCACTCACTCACTCACTCACTCACTCACTCACTCACTCACTCTCTCACCCACCCACCCACTCACCCACTCACTCACTCACCCACTCACTCACTCACCCACTCACTCACTCACTCACTCACTCACTCACTCACTCACTCACTCACTCACTCACTCACTCTCTCACCCACCCACCCACTCACCCACTCACTCACTCACCCACTTACCCACTCACTCACTCTTGTTGGTGCAGGTGTCCTCCTACCATCTGTCGCTGTCCTGGTCTCGTCTCAACCAGGAAGGTGCGGGAACCCTGAATCAGGATGGCGTAAAGTACTACACAGAGCTGCTGCAGGCGTTGAGGGACGCCCACATAGAGCCTTATGTGACGCTGTACTACTTGGATCTCCCCGAGGCCCTGGAGAGGACAGGAGGCTGGCTGAATGAGGACACCGTGGACAACTTCACGGCGTATGCCGAACAATGTTTTAATCTTTTTGGATCAAATGTATGTGAACCCAACTCTAGATGTCACTGATTTATATGACACGGGTCGGGCTATAATCCCCCTTGTGAGGGTTTTATGAGCAAAATCCTGCGTGTGAAGTTATTTGACTAATGTTAGGTAGAATAGCTCTTCAGCAACCCATGCTTGCCGTAAAAGGCGACTAAGCTTGTCGTAAGAGACGACTAACGGGCTCGAAGGGTCAGGCTCACTGACTTGGTTGATGCATTTCATCGTATCCCAATTGCGTGGATCGATGCTCATGATGTCAATCACTGGATTGTCTGGTCCAGACTCGATTATTTACAAAGCGCCGACATATAGCTGGAATATTGCTGGGTGCGGCGTTAAACAACAAAGAAACAAACAAACATGAGCCATGGCAAATTAACTAAAGTCATACGACAGAAATCGGTTATTCTTTAACTTCTGTTGAGTGGTATATACTGAATGCTTTGAAAAAACATATACACAAGGAATGACGAGTTGTAATTACGATCTCTAAATGAGTTTTCATTATCCTTTATAGACCTTCGCGGAATTTGTCCCCGATTCACAGCTATAATACAACACACATGCGCTGACGACAGTATATCGTATACACATTCGTATTGAATAGCAGATAGAGAGTATGTGATAACCATGATATTGACGGTTCCTTCAAAGCTGCGCTCGTGGTTCCAGGTGACGTACTGGGTCACAATGCATGACCCGCACACCGTGGCCTGGAGGGGGTACGGCGAGGCGTCCGCTCCCCCGGGGAAGTGGGAACCAGGGACCAATCCCTACATCGCCGCCAGACACCTCATCCTTGCCCATGCACGTGCTCTAAGTGTATACAAGAGCTTGGATGAATCTGTGTCCGGAGGTAAGACTATCTGTGTGACATAAGAGCATGTATGTACTGACAGACGGAGGTAACACTATCTGTGTAACATAAGAGAATGTATGTGCTGACAGACGGTGGTAACACTATCTGTGTAACATAAGAGCATGTATGTACTGACAGACGGAGGTAACACTATCTGTGTAACATAAGAGCATGTATGTACTGACAGACGGAGGTAACACTATCTGTGTGGCATGTGTAACATAAGAGCATGTATGTGCTGACAGATGGAGGTAACACTATCTGTGTGGCATGTGTAACATAAGAGCATGTATGTACTGACAGACGGAGGTAACACTATCTGTGTAACATAAGAGCATGTATGTACTGACAGACGGAGGTAACACTATCTGTGTGGCATGTGTAACATAAGAGCATGTATGTGCTGACAGATGGAGGTAACACTATCTGTGTGGCATGTGTAACATAAGAGCATGTATGTACTGACAGACGGAGGTAACACTATCTGTGTAACATAAGAGCATGTATGTACTGACAGACGGAGGTAACACTATCTGTGGGATATGTGTAACATAAGAGCATGTATGTGCTGACAGATGGAGGTAACACTATCTGTGTAACATAAGAGCATGTATGTACTGACAGACGGAGGTAACACTATCTGTGTGACATGTGTAACATAAGAGCATGTATGTACTGACAGACGGAGGTAACACTATCTGTGTGGCATGTGTAACATAAGAGCATGTATGTACTGACAGACGGAGGTAACACTATCTGTGTAACATAAGAGCATGTATGTACTGACAGACGGAGGTAACACTATCTGTGTGACATGTGTAACATAAGAGCATGTATGTACTGACAGACGGAGGTAACACTATCTGTGCGGCATGTGTAACATAAGAGCATGTATGTACTGACAGACGGAGGTAACACTATCTGTGCGGCATGTGTAACATAAGAACATGTATGTACTGACAGACGGAGGTAACACTATCTGTGCGGCATGTGTAACATAAGAGCATGTATGTACTGACAGACGGAGGTAACACTATATGTGTGACATGTGTAACATAAGAGAATGTATGTACTGACAGACGGAGGTAACACTATCTGTGTGGCATGTGTAACATAAGAGCATGTATGTACTGACAGACGGAGGTAACACTATCTGTGCGGCATGTGTAACATAAGAGCATGTATGTACTGACAGACGGAGGTAACACTATCTGTGTGACATGTGTAACATAAGAGCATGTATGTACTGACAGATGGAGGTAACACTATCTGTGTAACATGTGTAACATGTGTAACATAAGAGCATGTATGTACTGACAGATGGAGGTAACACTATCTGTGTGGCATGTGTAACATAAGAGCATGTATGTACTGACAGATGGAGGTAACACTATCTGTGTAACATGTGTAACATAAGAGCATGTATGTACTGACAGACGGAGGTAACACTATCTGTGTGACATGTGTAACATAAGAGCATGTATGTGCTGACAGATGGAGGTAACACTATCTGTGTAACATAAGAGCATGTATGTACTGACAGACGGAGGTAACACTATCTGTGTGACATGTGTAACATAAGAGCATGTATGTACTGACAGATGGAGGTAACACTATCTGTGTAACATGTGTAACATAAGAGCATGTATGTACTGACAGACGGAGGTAACACTATCTGTGTGACATGTGTAACATAAGAGCATGTATGTACTGACAGACGGAGGTAACACTATCTGTGTGACATGTGTAACATAAGAGCATGTATGTACTGACAGATGGAGGTAACACTATCTGTGTAACATGTGTAACATAAGAGCATGTATGTACTGACAGACGGAGGTAACACTATCTGTGTGACATGTGTAACATAAGAGCATGTATGTACTGACAGATGGAGGTAACACTATCTGTGTAACATGTGTAACATAAGAGCATGTATGTACTGACAGACGGAGGTAACACTATCTGTGTGACATGTGTAACATAAGAGCATGTATGTACTGACAGATGGAGGTAACACTATCTGTGTAACATGTGTAACATAAGAACATGTATGTACTGACAGATGGAGGTAACACTATCTGTGCGGCATGTGTAACATAAGAGCATGTATGTACTGACAGACGGAGGTAACACTATCTGTGCGGCATGTGTAACATAAGAGCATGTATGTGCTGACAGACGGAGGTAACACTATCTGTGCGACATGTGTAACATAAGAGCATGTATGTGCTGACAGACGGATCACATCATACTCACTCACTCACTCACTCACGTACGGCATCCGCTGGTCCGCTGGACTGTGGTTTGATTCCCTCCGAGCCTGGTGCGCAAAGAATCCATGCTCCTGATATATATGAACTACAGTTCCAAATGACTTTAAACCCGCTCACACTGGACTAGTGAGTAGGATACGATTAATACTATTTGTAATTGTCAGTTACCTCCTGTATGAATGAATGTTTCAATGCGTTCAGCGTCTGGTTTCTTTTGACTGTGTAGACTAGTGGTTAAAGTGCTGGTTCGTGGCGCGCAAGTCCTGGGTTCGATTCCCAAAGTGGGAACAATGTTTGAAATCCCTCCAGGTGTCCTAAGCTGTGATATTGCTGGAACATCGTAAACAACAGATAGCTCATTTCTATATTATCCAAACATCAAAATAATTGAATAACAGAACGTGGTCGCATTTAGGGAATAAGTACACGGATATGTAGACATTTAAAGAACAAATTACACACATATTAGGACATTTAGGGAATAAATACATCTATATTAAGGCATTTACGCAAGAATTGCACCTATATTTAGATAACTAAAATACCCTTTATTGTTTCGTGTCACACAAGCAAGCCATGTAACTTGTCATGCAACTATGTTTTTCTTTATGTTACAGGTCAAATAGGCATCTCCTTAAGCACCGACGTGTTCGAGCCCGAAGATCCGACACACTCAGGCGACCTTCTAAGTGCCGAGAGAGCCAGACAATTTCACATTGGATGGTTCGCCAATCCCATATTTCACGGGCAGTACCCGGATGTAATGACATCTCAAATCGAGGCTAAAAGTAACCAGATGGGAAAACCCTCCCGGCTTCCTGACATCCGGGCAGCTCTTCAGAGTATTCCAAGTGAGGACACACATCGGTCTGATACCACGCGGTGTTTCTCACCACTGATATGGTTTCCCCATACAATAATTCCACATATATATGTAGGTCATGCTGATGTAGACTCAGCGAGTTGCTATCTGTCAGTCCGCTCCTCACAAGCACATAAGTAAAAGCGACAAAACCATTTTCATAATCATAAGAAATCAATATTCGATTCCGATTATATCATACGCATGTGTTTATGAATCCATTTCAAACAGTGATGATGCCAGGTGTTTGGGAAACGGTTAGCCTGTCCTGTCCCACCCGTGACACCCGTCACGTACAAACACAAAACCTAGTCAGTTGTTCACCTGAAAAAGACACAGGAACATATGATGCAAGTACAAACATGGGGTTGTATCGGACTTCATGGTCACCGATGCGACAAATTTGTAAATGTCCTCCACATGTCTACCATTTAACGTTTTGAAAGCTTCACTAAGGCCTTGATGTTGTAACCCTGATCAAACATGTTGTGAGCAAGACAACTCTTTGAAATCTTCCTCGAAAGAACATGTTAGATTTTATCTCAAAAGTTGACTGTTGGAAAGTTGTCATCCCTCTTGTCACTCGGTCTTGTGAAGAGTCTTGTCACTCGGTCTTGTGGAGAGTCTTGTCACTCGGTCTTGTGAAGAGTCTTGTCACTCGGTCTTGTGGAGAGTCTTGTCACTCGGTCTTGTGGAGAGTCTTGTCACTCGGCCTTGTGGAGAGTCTTGTCACTGAATCTTTCTGCATATATCCAAGTATGATACAGATTAGGCGTTCTCACTTGTCTCCTTTATATCTGGTTCAGGTGGGTAAATCAGTGGAAGGGAATTGGCCATTTAATGATTATTGAACGATATCAGATCATCAGTATATCCGAAGCTTAAGTTAAACTTCTTGGCTTCGAAGTCCCCAATCCGAGCGGATATCCAGATTCATATACGTTAAGAAAAAGATCAGCAAGAAGGAGAGCTCAATCGGTGCCCATGGGGATGCCTTCTTCTTGCCTAAATATCTTAACCAAAAATAATTTTACACGGTATTAATCCAAAGAGTATTAATTCCACTTGCCATATATGTGTAGTATGTATGAAGGCTGTTGTTGTCAACAACAGAGCACAGGATAGTGTTACTTATATTTCTTGAACAGATTCGGGTGAAACTGACTTTCTCGTCGTGACCTACACCTCATCATATCACGTGACCCACGAGGAACGGCCAAATATTGAAGCGAGTTATCAGGACGACCAGGACATCCGTAGGACGGAGAAGTGGTCAGAGTAAGTATATGTGTATATTTCTCTATGTATACGTATATGATGCAAGGTCAAGGTCAAGGTATGCATATAGGGACGACGTCAGTAAAATCTGGGAGAACGAATTTTAAGAGGGAGTAGGCCTAGGTTAACTGATGATTCCTGCGAGTTTGATTCAGGCATCTCTTTTGGGAGTCTGGCGCATTAATTTTATGATGCAAAGCTGTCAAGCAGTGGATTTTTATGGGAGCGTTGCGGTGATGGGCGTGGTGGGGAGATGGGCGTGGTGGAGAGATGGGAGCGTTGGGGAGATGGGCGTGGTAGGGAGATGGGCGTGGTGGGGAGATGGGCGTGGTAGGGAGATGGGAGTGGTGGGGAGATGGGCGTGGTGAGGAGATGGGCGTGGTGGGGAGATGGGCGTGGTGAGGAGATAGGCGTGGAGGTGAATTGATCAGTGGTTGGGTGATGGGCGTGGTGGAGAGATGGGAGTGGTGGGGAGGTGGGAGCGTAGGGGTAATGGGCGTGGTGGAGGGATGGGAGTGGTGGGGAGGTGGGAGCGTAGGGGTGATGGGCATGGTGGAGGGGTGGGAGTGGTGGGGAGGTGGGAGCGTAGGGGTGATGGGCGTGGTGGAGGGATGGGAGTGGTGGGGAGGTGGGAGCGTAGGGGTGATGGGCGTGGTGGAGGGATGGGAGTGGTGGGGAGGTGGGAGCGTAGGGGTGATGGGTGTGGTGGGGAGATGGGCGTGGTGGGGAGATGGGAGCGTAGGGGTGATGGGCGTGGTGGAGGGATGGGAGTGGTGGGGAGGTGGGAGCGTAGGGGTGATGGGCGTGGTGGAGGGATTGGAGTGGTGGGGAGGTGGGAGCGTAGGGGTGATGGGAGTGGTGGAGGGATGGGAGTGGTGGGGAGGTGGGAGCGTAGGGGTGATGGGCGTGGTGGAGGGATGGGAGTGGTGGGGAGGTGGGAGCGTAGGGGTGATGGGTGTGGTGGGGAGATGGGCTCGGTGGTGAGATGGGAGTGGTTGGGAGATGGGAGTGGTTGGGAGATGGGCGTGGTGGTGAGATGGGAGTGGTTGGGAAATGGACGTGGTGGTGAGATGGGCGTGGTGGAGAGATGGGAGTGGTGGAGGCTGTACACTTTGTTAAACGACACATTTTTTAAGACACTCGGGCGTGAAAGGAAAAGTAATGATGAATATTATATGAACATGAGTGATGACACGTACAGGTTCGATGGGGAGTGTCATGTATGTACGGTGTCCTGTTTCAGAGATGGTGTGAGGAACGCCTTAAAATGGTTGCATGGAAAATACAACGTCACTGTCCACGTAACCGGAAGCGTCGCCACTCACAATGCGACGCTTAAAGATGCCCATCGCATCCATTACTTCAAATGGCACATTGATCAAGTTTTGAAAGGTACTTCGCAAGTTTCTATAAACTATTCTGTGATTTACTGACATGCGACAGCGATTAGAAGAAACGCAAAGCTGTCCACACATTCCCGGAGTACTTGGTGTTTCTTCAACTCATTCCCTGCTGCAATTAAAGCAAACATGATATCTGCAACAATAAGTCGACACGTAGATTTAAGAAGGATTCATATGACATAATGATAATACATGCACTATATATTAAACAACAACGCGTTATAAAGAGTGCGCCAATGGCCACGAGATGTGTGATATGATTTATTAGGCTTTGTTGATTAAGCATTAAACTGCATTGAATACGTTTATTACGACGACCTTGACCTAAACGACGCCATCTTGAATATTCTTGCAGCAATAAACCTGGACAGTTGCAACATCACCGGCTACGTCGCCAGGCCATTACTGGACGGCTTCCAATGGTCCGAAGGCTACTGTACCAAAGGAGGACTGTTCTCGGTAGACTTCTCAGATCCCGCGAGACCACGTACACCACGTGCCTCCTCTCGCCATTTCTCGCAGATAGTGGGAGACAACGGGATCCTGCCCGGGTATCGCGGTCTTGGGGGCGTGGCGTCCGGCATCGTGGCGTATGAGGATGACACGGAGATCTATTTTGACGACTTCCCCGAGGACTTTGTGTGGGCTGCTGCCACCTCGGCATATCAGATCGAAGGAGCGTGGAATGAGGACGGTAGGTGGGAAGATTGCTTGTATACACACACGGGAAGTGAGTTGCAGGTGCTGTGAGAATGCGGGGCATGATAACAGCGCCACCTATATGTATTCAGTGAGGTGAGGTGAACTGGTGTTTAAAGTCGCGTCCAAGATCACTTGCGACTTGCATGCACGTGCGTGTGTGTGTTTATAGTGCTAGCACCCTGATATACCATGCCGCTGTTTAACATGAATACCACGCCCAGACAGGCTTATTTTAGGTCCGTAATGCCGAGCGCCAGACAGGGTAACAACAAGTGCCATCTCATAGCTTCTTTTGGTATGAAGCGGTCGGGGATCTAACCCCGGACCTTCCGCTCTCCGGGCGGACGCTCTACCACTTGACCACTGAGGCGGTCCACATGCATTTAGTAGTAGTAGTAGTAGTACCTTATGCTTTACCTTTCTGACTTTACTATACACCATTTGCATTTACGCCAGCAGAATCAAGCCAACGGTCATCCTTGATGTATCTGTAGCTGTACCTGTTTTGTCATATGTTGCAGGTAAGGGAGAGAGCATTTGGGACCGACTGGTGCACACACCTGGCAACGTCTACAACAACGACACCGGCGACGTCGCCTGCGACAGCTACAACAAATACAAAGAAGACGTGAAGCTCCTGAAGAATCTGCATGTATGAAGACATGATATGGATAACACCTTCTTTGTTGTATCTAGCGACCTTTCAGGATTTGAAAATCCATCGATATGTGCTAATACTCCATGCTGACACGTTGCGTAGCTCTTGTATTTAGAGGACGATCCATGCAGCGATCTTGCCACTGCGCCTTCCGTTGTAGAGTTACGACAGTTTGGGAGCAAAAGGATCAGTCTGTGATGTTCTGAAATCACCAGTTGAGGAACTTTTCGTCATTTGGTGGATTTCGATTGTTCAGAGTAGCAAGAGCTGATGTATTGTCTGAATATTTGTTCCATCACTGTGTCAAACAAGTACTATCACTGTGTCAAACAAGTACTATCACTGTGTCAAACAAGTACTATCACTGTGTCAAACAAGTACTATCACTGTGTCACACAAGTTCCATCACTGCGTCACACAAGACGTAGTACCGTCAGTGTGTCACACAAGTACCGTCACTATGTCACACATCTGTGTGTCACGTGATGTGAGAATGATGTCATATGACTGCTCGTGCATAATTCCGATATTGCAGTGTGGCCTTCACAAGTCACTAAAGTAGCCGTGAAATTACACAACCGAGAAAGCAGCAATATGAAAAACGCTGAATTGAAACCCAACCTTGAACCCTAAAATTAACTGCTTGTTCGGTGACTACTTGTAGTAAAGTCTCGCCGTCTTTCATATGTCAATATCTGCCATGTCGTTTCCTGAAAAGTTGCGGAAACTTACAAATTGCAGAGAGTCTTATGCCATACATTGTAAAGGTAAACAAGCGGGCACCTGCACCCCACAGGGGCCACGCGCACAGTGTACGTACTACAAACAATTCTGGTTTATTTTTCATGTTATTTGAAAAAAATGTTTTGTCAATATATGAAATAAGAAATATAAACTTGTGAAAGTAGGGATGTGTTTCAAGAGTAACTTGGGGGATCCACGAGTCTAATCACTACCGACCGTCACTTGTTCTCCTAAATGTGCACGACCTCATCACCAAGACATGGTTAGTCTTAATGCCAGGAGATGGCGCATTGTGTTTCAGCAATATGTCTGGTGTTGTTTGCAGGTGACCGACTATCGGTTCTCCATTGCCTGGACCCGCCTGGTGCCCACGGGGAGGATAGCTGATGGCGTCAGTGCCGCGGGGATCACCTACTACCACAGACTGATTGATGAACTCCTTGCCAACGGGATTCGACCCATGGTCACTCTGTACCACTGGGATCTGCCTCAAGTCCTCGAGGACAGCGGTGGCTGGCTGAACGAGTCGATTGTTGACGACTTTGTGGATTATGCCAATTTGACCTTCTTTGAATATGGCAACAAGGTAACGCCAGTGTGTGAGTAAGCAGAGGCGTAGGCGAGTGAGTGAGTGGATGCGTAGGTGAGTGAGTGAGTAGAGGCGTAGGCGAGTGAGTGAGTGGATGCGTAGGTGAGTGAGTGTGTAGATACGTATGTGAGTGAGTGAGTAGATGCGTAGGCGAGTGAGTGAGTGGACGCGTAGGTGAGTGAGTGAGTGGATGCGTAGGTGGGTGAGTGAGCGGGTGAGTGAGTGAGTGAGTGAGTGGATGCGTCGGTGAGTGAGTGAGTGAGTAGATGCGAAGGCGAGTGAGTGAGTGGATGCGTAGGGGAGTGAGTGAGTGGATGCGTAGGCGAGTGAGTGAGTGGATGCGTAGGTGAGTGAGTGAGTAGATGCCTATGTGAGTGGATGCGTAGGTGAGTGAGTGAGTGGATGCGTAGGCGAGTGAGTGAGTGGATGCGTCGCGTCTCACTCTTCCAACGATCAGGACCAATGTCCTTGTTTAATGTCTTTAAAGTACTGGAGGTAGGCCGACTCGCATTAATTACATGACGTATTTTCGAGCTAAGGGTACCATTCGTATTAACTGGGTGACGCGTTAATTTCCTGATTTGCAGTACTGATGTGTGAATGTGTCTCACTGTGACAGGTGCCCTTCTGGATTACATTCAACGAGCCGCCAATCATCTCCATCCTCGGGTACGGGGAGGGGGCGTTTGCTCCCAAGAAGAGGGACCTGACGCAGAATCCCTACATCGTGGCGAGGCATCTGATCCTGGCTCACGCGAAAACTTTTCACCTCTACAATAACACCTACAGAGCCTCACAGTCAGGTTAGTTCACTCACTCACTCACTCCATACTATTTCAATCATGTTGTATGTTGCTTGGTGGGGAATAAGGCTGTATGTAGCATGATGGTCTTATTCCATATTTGTGAAATGTTAGACGTATTTTAACGTATTTTACCTCGCTCTGTGTCTCAGGGCCAGTTGTCACTCACTCAACCACTCACTCACTCAGGGGCGGTCGGGTAGCCTAGTGGTTAAAGCGTTCGCTCATCACGCCGAAGACCCGGGTTCGATTCCCGACATGTGTGAAGCCCATTTCTGGGCTGGATATTGCTGGAATATTGCTAAAAGCGGCGTAAAACCATTCTCACTCACTCACTCACTCACTCACTCACTCAAACATGAATGGAGTGAGTGCATTTCGATGACTTTATTGAGTGGTCCCGCATATTCTATCTTCACATTTCTGGGAAACAGGCATCATTGGCATCACTGTGAACTATGGGTGGAGCGAGCCGAGAGACCCCCTGGACATGGCGGACATCCATGCAGCGGAGAGGTCTATCGAGTTCTACGGGGGAATATACGGCCACCCCATCTACGTGGACGGCGACTTCCCCCCTGTCGTGAAGCAACAGGTGGCCATGAAAAATCGGGCTGCCAACTGGACCAGCTCCCCAAGACTGCCGCCATTCTCAGAGGAGGAGAAGGCACTTGTCATGGGTAAGTGTTGAAACAGACAACTGGACCAGCTCCCCAAGACTGCCGCCATTCTCAGAGGAGGAGAAGGCACTTGTCATGGGTAAGTGTTGAAACAGACAACTGGGCGAGCTCCCCAAGACTGCCGCCATTCTCAGAGGAGAAGGCACTTGTCAAGGGTAAGTGTTGAAACAGACAACTGGGCGAGCTCCCCAAGACTGCCGCCCATCTCAGAGGAGGAGAAGGCACTTGTCAAGGGTAAGTGTTGAAACAGACAACTGGACCAGCTCTCCAAGACTGCCGCCCTTCTCAGAGGAGGAGAAGGCACATGCACACTGATGTGAAGACGTAATGTTTTATTGCAGGAACCTACGACTTCCTAGGCCTGAACTTCTATACAGCCAACATCGCGTACAACAACGTTCAGAACGTCAGCGACCCCCCCAACATCTACAACGACCAAGACAATGGCGCATACCAGGACCCCAGCTGGCTAGGGTGAGAACGAGTCACGTTTTATACCCTTTATACCCGGCCTACCCCGACCTACCCACATTGCTTGCCCTTGTTAAACTGCTTTATACTCAGCCTACCCCGACCTACCCACATTGTTGGCCCTTGTTGCACTGCTTTATACCAACCCTGCACTGACCTACCCACATTGTTGGCCCTTGTTTCACTGCTTTATACTCGGCCTACCCCGACCTACCCACATTGTTGGCCCTTTTTGCACTGCTTTATACTCGGCCTACCCCGACCAACCCACATTGTTGGCCCGTGTTGCACTGCTTTATACTCAGCCTACCCCGACCTACCCACATTGTTGGCCCTTGTTGCACTGCTTTATACTCGGCCTACCCAGACCTACCCACATTGTTGGCTCTTGTTTCACTGCTTTATACTCTGCCTACCTCGTCCTACCCACATTGTTGGCTCTTGTTTCACTGCTTTATACTCTGCCTACCTCGTCCTACCCACATTGTTGGCCCTTGTGACACTGCTTTATACTCTGCCTACCTCGTCCTACCCACATTGTTGGCCCTTGTGACACTGCTTTATACTCTGCCTACCTCGACCTACCCACATTGTTGACCCTTTTTGCACTGCTTTATACCCGGCCTACCCCGACCTAACGGGTGTGACTATGCATAGACACGGGAAGATGCAGCAACTCATGCTTGTCGCAATGGCGACTGACGGAACCGACTTGGTTCATGCGTGCCATTGTGTCCCAATTGCGTTGATCGATGCTCATGATGTCAATCACTGGATTGTCTGGTCCAGGATCGATTACTTAGAGACCGCCGTCATATAGCTGGAATATTGCTTACAGGTGCGTTAAACAAGAAACAAATATCAGTTTAAGTCCTAGATTCACTCGGCTGATAACCTGTGTGTTCACACTAATTACCAACTACATATATATAATGAACATGGACACAAATGAAGACGAGCCAGCACTGTAGAACTTGTGACCATTGCTCGAGTCGTGTGTCTCACAGATCCGGATCCGACTGGCTGAAGGTCACACCATTTGGGCTGCGTAAAATGCTGAACTGGTTCAAGTACCATTACAACAACGTACCGGTTTACATAACCGAAAACGGTGTGTCGGACCGGAATGGAACCCTGTATGATGAACACCGTGTGCGATTCCTCCGCCACTACATCAACGAAGTGCTGAAAGGTACGGTTGTGTCAGGGGTGACCACAGAAGTGCTGAAAGGTACGGTTGTGTCACGGATGGCCACAGAAGTGCTGAAACGTACGGTTGTGTCAGGGGTGACCACAGAATGAACAAGCATCATAGCTCCCCATGTTGCTGCAACCATGCATTCTAACAGTAGTGAATACACAGTGCCAGTTAGAACAGGAGATCTGGCTGATCAAAGGCTTCAGCAGATTTGACGCCCCCTGTCGGACAAGCCTTCTTTTGTCAGACATCAGTTATTCTAGCACTGTCAAATCTGCAAGAAACACACGTAGCATACCTTTACAGTAGAACAAGTTATATAAGTAACAGTTCACACTGAAATGAGAGAATGGTGTACAAGTAAAATTGTTGTACATTGAAAACAAGGATTAATACAAGAACAATCGTTCTACACTGACACGAGAGACTGAAAGTATGGATATGTTATCTAACAAGAAACGTTTAGCATTGAAAAGTGAGCGGATTCTAAAAATGACATTAAAGACAGAGAAGGTTTATAGTAGAAAGAATGTTTTACATTACAAGCAAAATGCTATATAAGTACATTAATTATACACTGAAGACAGAGGTTCATACAAGTAACATAGTTGTACGTTGAACACGGAGAAGGTTTATACAAGTAACATAGTTGTACGTTGAACACAGAGAAGGTTTATAGAAGTAACATAGTTGTACGTTAAACACGGAGAAGGTTTATACAAGTAACATAGTTGTACATTGAACACAGAGAAGGTTTATACAAGTAACATAGTTGTACGTTGAACACAGAGAAGGTTTATAGAAGTAACATAGTTGTACGTTGAACACAGAGAAGGTTCATACAAGTAACATAGTTGTACATTGAACATGGAGAAGGTTAATACAAGTAACATAGTTGTACACTGAACACGGAGAAGGTTGATACAAGTAACATAGTTGTACGTTGAACACAGAGAAGGTTCATACAAGTAACATAGTTGTACGTTGAACACAGATAAGGTTCATACAAGTCACATAGTTGTACGTTGAACACAGAGAAGGTTCATACAAATAACATAGTTGTACGTTGAACACGGAGAAGGTTTATACAAGTAACATAGTTGTACGTTGAACACAGAGAAGGTTCATACAAGTAACATAGTTTTACGTTGAACACAGATAAGGTTCATACAAGTCACATAGTTGTACGTTGAACACAGAGAAGGTTCATACAAATAACATAGTTGTACGTTGAACACGGAGAAGGTTTATACAAGTAACATAGTTGTACGTTGAACATAGAGAAGGTTCATACAAGTAACATAGTTGTACATTGAACACAGAGAAGGTTTATACAAGTAACATAGTTGTACGTTTAACACGGAGAAGGTTTATACAAGTAACATAGTTGTACGTTTAACACGGAGAAGGTTTATACAAGTAACATAGTTGTACGTTGAACACAGAGAAGGTTTATAGAAATAACATGGTTGTACGTTGAACACAGAGAAGGTTTATAGAAGTAACATAGTTGTACGTTGAACACGGAGAAGGTTTATAGAAGTAACATAGTTGTACGTTGAACACGGAGAAGGTTTATAGAAGTAACATAGTTGTACGTTGAACACAGAGAAGGTTTATAGAAGTAACATAGTTGTACGTTGAACACAGAGAAGGTTTATAGAAGTAACATAGTTGTACGTTGAACACGGAGAAGGTTTAAAGAAGTAACATAGTTGTACGTTAAACACGGAGAAGGTTTATAGAAGTAACATAGTTGTACGTTAAACACGGAGAAGGTTTATAGAAGTAACATAGTTGTACGTTAAACACGGAGAAGGTTTATAGAAGTAACATAGTTGTACATAAACACGGAGAAGGTTTATACAAGTAACATAGTTGTACGTTGAACACAGAGAAGGTTTATAGAAGTAACATAGTTGTACGTTGAACACGGAGAAGGTTTATAGAAGTAACATAGTTGTACGTTGAACACAGAGAAGGTTTATAGAAGTAACATAGTTGTACGTTGAACACAGAGAAGGTTTATACAAGTAACATAGTTGTACGTTGAACACGGAGAAGGTTTATAGAAGTAACATAGTTGTACGTTAAACACGGAGAAGGTTTATACAAGTAACATAGTTGTACGTTGAACACGGAGAAGGTTTATAGAAGTAACATAGTTGTACGTTGAACACGGAGAAGGTTTATAGAAGTAACATAGTTGTACGTTGAACACGGAGAAGGTTTATAGAAGTAACATAGTTGTACGTTGAACACGGAGAAGGTTTATAGAAGTAACATAGTTGTACGTTAAACACGGAGAAGGTTTATAGAAGTAACATAGTTGTACGTTAAACACGGAGAAGGTTTATACAAGTAACATAGTTGTACGTTGAACACAGAGAAGGTTTATAGAAGTAACATAGTTGTACGTTAAACACAGAGAAGGTTTATAGAAGTAACATAGTTGTACGTTGAACACGGAGAAGGTTTATAGAAGTAACATAGTTGTACGTTGAACACGGAGAAGGTTTATACAAGTAACATAGTTGTACGTTGAACACAGAGAAGGTTTATACAAGTAACATAGTTGTACGTTAAACACGGAGAAGGTTTATAGAAGTAACATAGTTGTACGTTGAACACGGAGAAGGTTTATAGAAGTAACATAGTTGTACGTTAAACACGGAGAAGGTTTATAGAAGTAACATAGTTGTACGTTGAACACGGAGAAGGTTTATAGAAGTAACATAGTTGTACGTTGAACACGGAGAAGGTTTATAGAAGTAACATGGTTGTACGTTGAACACGGAGAAGGTTTATAGAAGTAACATAGTTGTACGTTGAACACGGAGAAGGTTTATAGAAGTAACATAGTTGTACGTTGAACGCAGAGAAGGTTTATAGAAGTAACATTGTTGTACATTGAACACAGAGAAGGTTTATACAAGTAACATAGTTGTACGTTGAACACAGAGAAGGTTTATAGAAGTAACATAGTTGTACGTTGAACACAGAGAAGGTTTATAGAAGTAACATAGTTGTACGTTGAACACAGAGAAGGTTTATACAAGTAACATAGTTGTACGTTGAACACAGAGAAGGTTTATAGAAGTAACATAGTTGTACTTTGAACACAGAGAAGGTTTATACAAGTAACATAGTTGTACGTTGAACACAGAGAAGGTTTATAGAAGTAACATAGTTGTACGTTGAACACAGAGAAGGTTTATACAAGTAACATAGTTGTACGTTGAACACAGAGAAGGTTTATACAAGTAACATAGTTGTATGTTGAACACAGAGAAGGTTTATAGAAGTAACATAGTTGTACGTTGAACACAGAGAAGGTTTATAGAAGTAACATAGTTGTACGTTAAACACGGAGAAGGTTTATAGAAGTAACATGGTTGTATGTTGAACACGGAGAAGGTTTATAGAAGTAACATAGTTGTACGTTGAACACAGAGAAGGTTTATAGAAGTAACATAGTTGTACGTTGAACACGGAGAAGGTTTATAGAAGTAACATAGTTGTACGTTGAACACGGAGAAGGTCTATAGAAGTAACATAGTTGTACGTTGAACACGGAGAAGGGTTATAGAAGTAACATAGTTGTACGTTGAACACAGAGAAGGTTTATAGAAGTAACATAGTTGTATGTTGAACACGGAGAAGGTTTATAGAAGTAACATTGTTGTACATTGAACACAGAGAAGGTTTATACAAGTAACATAGTTGTACATTAAACACGGAGAAGGTTTATAGAAGTAACATAGTTGTACGTTAAACACGTAGAAGGTTTATAGAAGTAACATGGTTGTACGTTGAACACGGAGAAGGTTTATAGAAGTAACATAGTTGTACGTTGAACACGGAGAAGGTTTATAGAAGTAACATAGTTGTACGTTAAACACGGAGAAGGTTTATAGAAGTAACATAGTTGTACGTTGAACACGGAGAAGGTTTATAGAAGTAACATAGTTGTACGTTGAACACGGAGAAGGTTTATAGAAGTAACATAGTTGTACGTTGAACACAGAGAAGGTTCATACAAGTAACATAGTTGTACGTTAAACACGGAGAAGGTTTATAGAAGTAACATAGTTGTACGTTGAACATAGAGAAGGTTCATACAAGTAACATAGCTGACGTTGAACACGGAGAAGGTTCATACAAGTAACATAGTTGTACGTTGAACATATGGTAGATATCAAAATAGGGAACTTTTTGAAAGCTTTACTGACGCCTTGAATGTTTTAACCTGGGTCAAACAACTTCTCACCAGAGAGGCTTCTGACGCTGGTCTTTCAAATCTTTGTAGAAAGAACATGCTCGATTGTATTCAAATGTTGTGAAATGTAAACACCAAAGGCTGGAGCTGCTGGAATATTGCTCGACGTCAAGGGAGAGTTGACTTTTGGAAAGTTGAAGTCATCCCTCTTGTCACAGAGTCGTGTGGGGAGTGTTCCAGTCAACCACCTGGTAACTATCTGATTCTATCTTCAGCTATCAAGCTGGACAAGTGCAACGTGAAGGGATACACAGCTTGGTCTCTGATGGACAACTTCGAGTGGTTGGCGGGTTATCGCGAGATGTTTGGCATCCATCACGTCAACTTCTCACATCCAGACAGACCCCGCACCCCAAAGTCTTCCGCTAAATGGTATACAGGTCTCATCGATGACAACGCGTACCGACCAGGCTACTCTCGGCCCGGGGGTCGTGGCACTGCCGTCAAGACAGTTAATGACTTCTATTATAGTACTTTCCCTGAAGACTTCATATGGGCGGCGGCCTCTTCGTCCTTCCAGATTGAAGGAGCCTTTGATGCTGACGGTGAGTGTTATACATTTGACGTTGACGGTGAGCATTATAATTTGACGTTGAACGTGTTGAGTGTTTTGCCTTTAACGCTCATGGTGCGCGTTATAATTTGAGGTTGATTTTGGTGAGTATCATGCCGTTGATGCTGATGATGAGCGATATAATTTGACGTTGATTGTGGTGAGTGTTATGCCTTTGGTGGTGACGTTGGCGTTATATTCTGACGTTGATAGTCGGCGTTCTACATTTGACGTTGACTTATGCGAACGTTATACATTTGTTGGTGATGGTTGAAACTGTTATGCCTTTGACGTTGACGTTAACTACAGATCAGGCAAACCACTGGCGGAAATGGTAACGATACACTCGACGGGACACGCAAGCATCCCTGTCACATAGTCTGACCAACTCACCGAATATCTTGGCCTCGCATGACCAGCAATGGGGTGCTGGGGACCAAGTATAATCAGGGTCACATTTCTTATTTCTTCAATTGATATGTGTCTAATGTCATATATATATTTGCAAGGGGTGGTGGGGTAACCTAGTGCTTCAAACGTTTGCTCGTCACGTTGAAGTCCCGGGTCTGATTCCCACATAGGTACATGGTGTCCAACGCCGTGGTATTGCTGGTATAATGAATTGTAAAATCATTCTCACTCACTCACTCACTCACTCACTCACTCACTCACTCACTTACTCGCTGTATCTGCCTCCAGGCCGTGGTGAAAGCATCTGGGACAACTTCGCGCGAGTCGACAACAACCACACGGGGAAGATTGCATGTGACAGTTACCACAAATACCAAGATGACGTCAATCTCCTGAAAAACATGGGGGTAAGTGGCTCCACAGGGACTCATCAAGCATTGTGTCCATGGTACACATCCCTAGCATACCTGAGTCTCTGAAACTGATCACATTCTGGATGGTGTTGGGTCTACCACTGTTTCAAGACCATATATATGCATTCAACTTTTCGAATTTGACTATTCTTTTGGAAACCATAATAAATTATTGTCAACATCCAGCATGTAGTGTGACTACATGTTTGGTGTAATACCTAAGGCAAAAACATTTTTTTAACATTTTCTGGAACAATACAATTTTTTTTAAAACACACCATAGGCTACCTTTCCAGAACATCAAATGCTTCGTGCCTTTAGATTTGTACACCGATATCAACACGCAGCGGCCGCGGGTGCACAATAACATTGTTACATTTCCAAACTGAACTTCTTGATGTGGTAAGAGTATTGTCTGGAGAGTTTTAACCTTTAGTTTTAATTTTTTCCAAACCTTTGTTCAGGTCAGTCATTACCGGTTTTCCATCGCCTGGTCCCGAATATTTCCTGATGGTACTCTCAGGTCGAAGAACCAGGGAGGAATCAACTACTACCACCGGTTGATCGACGCCCTGCTGGTGGCGGGCATCAAGCCCATGGTCACTTTGTACCACTGGGACCTGCCACAAGCCCTGCAGGACCAGGGAGGCTGGACCAACGCATCCATCATCGCAAACTTCAGGGATTATGCCGACGTTTGCTTTGAAGAATACGTCGGCAAGGTCTGTATTTCATTGTCCTTGCTTTCGAGTCCTTTCAGAAGTTCTTATTTTTTTTCATCATAAAAAACTTTAACGTATTTCTTAAAGGTTTCTCTGTACTCTTAAACGGCAGAATTTCTGCACTTATACATATAAGGCGGAGTTAAAAAAATAAAAGATCCTTTTCAGTTTCAACAAAATCAGTAAGTGCACTATGGTGGATTTCTCGTCCATCACCTGGTTTGGGCATGCTTGGCTTTCAACTCCCTGAAAATCAAAGCTTTCTATATAACCGCAAAATCTATCAACCACTCTCTCGGCCTGTTCAGACTCAAACAATATTCACCCTCTGAGGTCAATATGTTCATCACTGTGCTTAATGCGTGCAGGTGGATTACTGGATCACCTTCAACGAGCCGTGGGTGTTCACGGTCCTAGGGCTGGGGACGGGCGACATGGCCCCGGGGCACAGGAATATAGGGGACGAGCCCTACCTAGGGGCCCACAACGTCTTGCTGGCACATGCTGAGGGGTACCACCTGTTTGGCAACAAATACAGGGCGCAAAATCCGGAAGGTAAACAGATTTACTTCAGATGTTTGTCGCTAGAGGAGACCCTTGCTTGTTTAGTATCATCTGTTCATAAGCGTCTCGGTCGGATGGTACAAGGAGTTTATGATGGTGTATATTTGTGTATGTTTTTGTATGCTGGTGAATGTTCGAGTAGTCTCCATGACAGTGCTTCACAGATGTAGTTGTTGTATGTACTTGCAGTGGGTGTGTTACCCGTAATCCTGTCAGGTGTACACAAGGCTGGCAGATGTCCATACACTGAGCGAGTGAGTGAGTGAGTGTTTGAGTGAGTGTTTGAGTGTTTGAGTGAGTGAGTATGTGAGTGAGTGAGTGAGTGTGTGAATGAGTGAGTGTGAGTGAGTGAGTGAGCGAGTGGCTGAGTGAGTGAGTGAGTGAGTGAGTGAGTGTGTGAGTGAGTGTGTGAGTGAGTGTGTGAATGAGTGAGTGAGTGAGTGTGAGTGAGTGAGTGAGTGAGTGTGTGAGTGAGTGTTTGAGTGAGTGAGTGTTTGAGTGAGTGAGTGAGTGAGTGAGCCAGTGGCTGAGTGAGTGAGTGAGTGAGTGAGTGAGTGAGTGTGTGAGTGAGTGTGTGAATGAGTGAGTGAGTGTGAGTGAGTGAGTGAGTGAGTGAGCGAGTGGCTGAGTGAGTGAGTGAGTGAGTGTTTGAGTGAGTGAGTGAGTGTTTGAGTGAGTGTGTGAGTGAGTGAGTGAGTGAGTGAGTGAGTGAGTGAGTGAGTGAGTGAGTGAGTGAGTGAGTGAGTGTTTGAGTGAGTGAGTGAGTGAGTGAGTGAGTGAGTGAGTGTGTGAATGAGCGAGTGGCTGAGTGGTGACTGCGTGACTGATCCTGTCAGCTGTACACAAGACTGGCAGATGTCCATACACTGAGTGAGTGAGTGTGTGAGTGTGTGAGTGAGTGAGTGTGTGAGTGTTTGAGTGAGTGAGTGAGTGTTTGAGTGAGTGTGTGAGTGAGTGAGTGAGTGAGTGAGTGAGTGAGTGAGTGAGTGAGTGAGTGAGTGTGTGAGTGAGTGTGTGAATGAGTGAGTGTGAGGGAGTGAGTGAGCGAACGAGCGAGCGAGTGGCTGAATGAGTGAGTGAGCGAGCGAGTGAGTGAGTGAGTGAGTGAGTGAGTGAGTGAGTGAGTGAGTGAGTGAGTGAGTGAGGGAGTGAGTGAGTGAGTGAGTGAATGAGTGAGTGAGTGAGGGAGTGAGTGAGTGAGTGAGTGAGTGAGTGAGTGAGTGAGTGAGTGAGCGAGCGAGCGAGCGAGCGAGCGAGCGAGTGAGGGAGTGAGTGAGTGAGTGAGTGAGTGAGTGAGTGAGGGAGTGATTGAGTGAGTGAGTGAGTGAGTGAGTGAGTGAGTGAGTGAGTGAGTGAGTGAGTGAGGGAGTGAGTGAGTGAGTGAGTGAGTGAGTGAGTGAGTGAGTGAGTGAGTGAGCGAGCGAGCGAGCGAGTGAGTGAGTGAGTGAGGGAGGGAGTGAGTGAGTGAGTGAGTGAGTGAGTGAGCGAGCGAGTGGCTGAGTGGTGACTGCGTGACTGAGTGACTAAGTGAGTGATGAATCAACAAACGTGCAGGTGTTCGCCGAGCCCATGTATGTCTGAACAACAAACACGTCAGAGAGAGAGAGAGAGAGAGAGAGAGAGAGAGAGAGAGAGAGAATAACCCTCAATCAAATAACGGGCGGCAGGTTACAGGCCCGTCCGTCAGTACAGGATGTGTCGCTGTTGAACTTCTTGAACCAGGCCCGTGCTCCGGTCTGGAATCCGGACTAGTGTTGGGAGCTGGCAGGAAGTCGGTGTCTTTACGTTGGAATCTTACCCGCACATGGCCAGGAAATAAGACGCGATCGAATCTCGCCCTCGTGTCGTCGGTTCAGAGCACTCGATCTTTTACGGGCGCTTCAGTCATTTGCTGGCACAAACAATCACGCCCTATCAATCGCAACACAACTTTCCGAGACACTTAATGAAGAAACATGCAGATGTTTATGTTGTGTTTAATCATCCCGCCTCACAGTAAAATATTATGTAAAGTAAACTGAAGTCAGGTAAAGTAACGATGTTGGTTGTATTTGTTTTAGTTTTGTTATAAGTAGTCACTGGAGTAGCTGTAGTAGTAGGTGGAGGAGTAATAGTAGTGGTAGTAGTAGTGGTAATAGTGAGTGAGTGAGGTTTTACGCCGCTTTTAGCAATATTCCAGCAATATCACGGCGGGGGACACCACAAACGAGCTCCACACATTGTACCCATGTCGGGAATCGAACCCGGGTCTTCGGCGTGGCGAGCGAACACTTTAATCACTTGGCTACGCGACTGCCTAGTAGTAATACTAGTAGCAGAAGTAGAAGTAGTTATAGTTGTGGCAGTACTAGTAGTAGTAGTAGTAGTAGTAGTAGCAGTAGTTGGTTGGTCGGTTTGTTGTTTAACGCCGCACTCAGCAATATTCCACCTGTGTGATGATGGTCTGTAAATAATCGAGTATGGACCAGACAATCCAGTGATGAATATCCTGAGCATCGATCCACGCAATTTGGATCGATGACATGCCTCAGCCAAGTCAGCGAGCGTAGTGGTAGTAGTAGTAGTAGTAGTAGCAGCAGCAGTAGTAGTAGTAGAACTACTAGTAGTAGTAATAATAATAATAATAATAATAGTAGCAGTAGTAGAAGTAGTAGAAGTAGTTATAGTAGTAGTAGTAGTAGTAGTAGTAGTATTAGTAGCAGTAGTAGCAGCAGCAGCAGCAGCAGTAGTAGTAGTAGTACTAGTAGTAGTAATAATAATAATAGTAGCAGTAGTAGTAGTAGTAGTAGTAGTAGTAATAGCAGGAGGAGTAATAGTAGTGGCAATTGGTTGGTTTGTTGTAGTTGTAGTAGTCAACGCAGAAGTATTATCGATATTATAATTAACAATACTGTTAAGAATTTATGAAATAATAATTGATATTTTATCAATGTTGGTATCGATTATATAAATAAATTATTATGTTCATCACCATCACATTTAGCGGCCTCAAAGACATGCAGATGAACACGTGCAGATAAACACATGTAGATAGATCCATATTTTTATCAACAGATATATGTATGTGGTTGTGGGGTTGTGTACACTCAAACTGGACCTTTGTAAATACCATCTCTACCTTCAGTCCAAGTCGGCATCACCCTCAACATTGACTGGGCGGAGCCTAAAGACCCCCTCAACCCGGAACACATCGAGGCATCGGAGTGGGCGGTGCATATGTTCCTGGGATGGTTTGCGAACCCCATATATGGTAATGGAGACTATCCGGATGTGATGAAGCGGAGAATTGCTGCGGTCAGCGCTGCGCAGGGATTGAACCAGTCCAGGCTACCCGCATTCACTGAAGCACAGAAGGCGTTCATCAATGGTACACTTTTATACTTACTGTGAAACGTGCCATCCTCATGACAGTGATTAGAATTTCGCTTGCTATCTGCGAAATACTACATACGTTCATATCTAAATGTATATCAAATCATGTACAACAAAGACGAACTTTTGTTTCAGTACTGGTGAGTATCGGTTTCAGTACTAGTGATATTGATTTCAGTACTAGCGATGTCGGTTTCAGTACTAGTGATGTCAGTTTCAGGACTAGTGAGTGTTGGTGTCAGTACTAGTGAGTGTCGATTTCAGGACTAGTGATGTCAGTCTCAATACTAGCAATGTCGGTTTCAGTACTGTCGATGTCAGTTTCAGTACTAGTGAGTGTCGGGTTCAGTACTGGTGATGTCGCTTCCAGTACTATTGAGTGTCTGTGACAGTCCTAGTGAGCTTCGGTTTCAGTTCTAGTGAGTGTCGGTTTCAGTACTAGTGATGTCGGTTTCAGTACTAGAGAGCGTCGGTTTCAGAACTAGCGACTGTCGGTTTCAGTACTAGTGAGTGTCGGTTTCAGTACTAGTGATGTCAGTTTCAGTACTAGTGAGTGTCCGTTTCAGTAGTCAGTACTAGCGATGTTGGTTTCAGTACTAGTGAGTGTCGGGTTCTGTACTGGTGATGTCAGTTTCGGTACTAGTGATGTTGGTTTCAGTATTAGTGAGTGTCGGGTTCAGTACTGGTGATGTCTGTTTCAGTACTATCGATGACAGTTTCAGTACTTGTGATGTCGCTTTCAGTACTAGCGATGACGTTTTCAGTACTAGTGATGTCAGTTTCAGGACTAGTGAGTGTTGGTGTCAGTACTAGTGAGTGTCGATTTCAGTACTAGTGATGTTGGTTTCAGTACTAGTGATGTTGGTTTCAGTACTAGTGAGTGTCGGTTTCAGTACTGGTGATGTCAGTTTCAGTACTAGTAAGTGTCAGTTTCAGTACTAGTGATGTTGGTTTCAGTACTAGTGATGTTGGTTTCAGTACTACTGAGTGTGGTTTCAGTACTGTGAGTGTCGGGTTCAGTACTGGTGAGTGTTGGTTTTAGTACAAGTGAGTGCCGGTTTCAGTACTAGACACTGTCGGTTTCAGTACTAGGGAGTGTCAGTTTCAGTACTAGTGATGCCAGTTTCAGTACTAGTGATGACAGTTTCAGTACTAGTGATGTCAGTTTCAGTACTAGTGAGTGTCGGTTTCAGTACTCGTGATGTCAGTTTCATTTCTAGTGAGTGTCGGTTTCAGTACTAGGGAGAGTCAGTTTCAGTACTAGTGAGTGTCGGTTTCAGTACTAGTGAGAGTCAGTTTCAGTACTAGGGAGAGTCATGCAGTTTCAGTACTAGTGATGTCGGTTTCAGTACTAGGGAGAGTCAGTTTCATTACTAGTGATGTCAGTTTCAGTACTAGTAAGTGTCGGTTTCAGTACAAGTGATGTCAGTTTCAGTACTAGTGAGTGTCGGTTTCAGTACCCGCATTCACTGAAGCACAGAAGGCGTTCATCAATGGTACACTTTTATTCTTACTGTGAAACGTGCCATCCTCATGACAGTGATTAGAATTTCGCTTGAAATCTGCGAAATACTACATACGTTCATATCTAAATGTATATCAAATCATGTACAACAAAGACGAACTTTTGTTTCAGTACTGGTGAGTATCGGTTTCAGTACTAGTGATATTGAATTCAGTACAAGCGATGTCGGTTTCAGTACAAGTGATGTCAGTTTCAGTACTAGTGAGTGTCGGTTTCAGTACAAGTGATGTCAGTTTCACTACTTGTGAGTGTCGGTTTCAGTACTCGTGATGTCGGTTTCAGTACTCGTGATGCCAGTTTCAGTACTAGTAATGTCGGATTTACTACTAGTGAGCGTCGGTTTCAGTTCTTGTGATGTCAGTTCCAGTATTAGTGAGTGTCGGTTTCAGTACTAGTGAGTGTCGGTTTCAGTACTGGTGAGTGTCAGTTCCAATACTAATGACTGTCGCTTTACGCCCTTCACAGCAATGTTCCAACCTTAGCATGGCTGGAAGCCAAAACAGGATTCAGAACCTGCACGCATGTTGGGGTTCGAACCCGGTCTTCGGTGTCCAAAAGGAACGCAAACCAACCTCTTTCAATACTATTATAACCATCGATATGAACAAAAATAGAATAATTCCAAAAACATAAGATATAAGAATTACTTGTTGGCCCGTCCATCACATCACCCGGTTTGTTCACTAAAACTCCTTGAGGTGAGGAAATCTGTTTCAGTCATGTTGAATGAAACCAGAGTCGATCTTTGAATACCCGTGTACATCATCATACATGCTGAGCTGTGTCCGACCCTCCAGGTGCTTATGACAGGAGTGAGTGAGTATTGTTTTACACCGCCCGCAGCAATAGTCCAGTGGTATCAGGGCGGGGGACACCAGACATGGGCTGTGACAGGGTTGCTCTACTAAGCCTATATTGTTTTTCTCCAGGCACCTCTGATTTCTTTGGTTTGAATCACTACACCACACAGTACGTCAGCAAACAGAATGAGAGTCTCGCTGGAGAGAGTGCCCCCAACTACTTCCTAGACAGAGGGGTGGACACGGAGTTCGATCCCCAATGGATCAAGTAAGGCACCGTGGGATATTTGTCAGAGACAGTATAAGTTTTTTACCTCTGCTTTAAAACCCACTACTATTTGTCTCTGAAAGAAGGTACTGAATTTTATTTGACAGATATCCAACATGCCGAGAGAACAAATCATCATCATCATCATCATCATCATCATCACCATCGACCGAAGTTCAGTTCGTTTTGAAGCAAGTTCAGCGGGAAACAATCTGAACCTAGTAGTATAATACAAAAAGATGAATTGAATAAATGATAATCAAAAGTCGAAACATTTATTCTAACCAATTATTAGTCCATGACAATTAATTCAAATTGTTCCAAAACCAGATCCGGTTCTTCCTGGCTCCGTGATGTACCATGGGGTTTACGGAAGATTCTGAACTGGATCAAAAACAAATACGGGGATGTGCCGATCCTCATCACGGAGAACGGCGTGTCAGATAGGAGCGGCGTCCTTGACGACCAACACCGCATACATTTCTACAGATACTACATCAACGAGGTGATGAAAGGTACGACCAGTCTCAGGACCACAGTATGTTTTGTTTCTACTCTTCATTATAATGGAAGCAACACATTCAAACAAAGCTACGCTCATTAAAATGTAAAATCATCACTGATGACCCCGGGTATTTGCGAAATGGTCTTGTGATTTTCAAGGTCACTACAAAATATTTTCCACTTTCAGTGAAAAGGAAATAGCTCTCTCACGTTCAAAATGTGACAGGCGTTCAATTACAGCCCATCAATGTTTTCTACGACGTAAGACATTCAAATCTATATCATCAACACGTGAACATTTATTCAGTAACAATAGGTCCGGCCACATTGGTAAGAGCTGCCCAACTGTTTAACCGCCGTTTTCGGAGACAGTGTATGAATCAGTATCAAGCGTCACAACTTTAATTAGTTATGATTTCAGCAGGTTTATGTTGTCACAACATTTACATGTTAGTTATGATTTCAGCAGGTTTTATGTTGTTGTCGATGTTGTGATGCAGCAATCCACCTGGACAAGGTCAACGTCCGGAGCTACACGGCGTGGAGCATCATGGACAACTTCGAGTGGGCCCGGGGCTACACGGAGAGATTCGGACTGCACTACGTCGACTTCGACGACCCCAACCTCACCCGTGTCCCCAAGGCGTCGGCAGCGTTCTACAGACATGCAAGTGTTGTTTGTACCCTGGCCACTGAGACATTCAGCGAAACACATACTCCATCTCCGCACAATGCAATGACGTCATCGAGCCAAACTTGACGTATTAGTATTAAACATATTTATTCTTCTCTCCTGAAAGACATTAATTTTCCGAAGCTGAGAAAAGTGATATTTTCATTGCAGTGAGCATAACACTTCAGTTGATATTTCGCAGCAATGTACATAACACTTTGACCGAACTATTGTCACACAAGAGTTACATCCCCGCAATTTATCTCCCTTTATCGTAACAAACTGTTGACTTCCTTTTTACGTGAGTTCCACATTCACAAGACAAAATAATGACAGATGACATGATTTATGGAATTAATATCGCTTCTAGCCGTTTGTTATTCCCTTGAAAATGTTTCGTTATAAACTGTAATTTTCTCATTTAACTCGTCAATCGAAACTGGTCGTTCCGCAAAGCGCCATTTTTGTTGCCTGACCAGCGTGTATTCTTCCCTTCCAACTACGATCTCGTAGATTTTATCTAAGATCTAAACTCATCGTTACAGTGAGTGCATGGAACACATACCATTAACAGCTGCTTGCCCTGGTAGTGCTAAGTCTGACGTCACCCCAGGTGAACATGGAGTAACACGTGCTTATGTCTGCTACAGGTGATACAGGACAACGGGTTCAAGAAAGGTGCACTCACTGACCCCAACAGACAACCACTTTCGCACGAAGACGACTTCCTGTACGATCATTTCCCAGAAGGCTTTGCATGGGGCGCTTTCAGTTCCGCCCTGCAGACGGAGGGTGGCGGAAATTTGCATGGTGAAACTTTCATTGATTGTACAGTCACATTAGAGTAACCTTGACCTTGGGAAGAGTGAGTGAGTAAAACGTCGCATGTACAGTAGTCAGCTTAATGTGGGAGGAAAACCTGAAGTGATGCAGGTCTTAGACATTTACCACTTTGGTGAAACCCAAGAGCACGGGAATGTGCTCACAAACATAGATACATTACGAGGGCGAACAGGGATTCGAACCCACGATCAAAGGTTTCTGACACGCCTTCAGGACGCAACTCTGCACAAAAAATTCCTCCGCCTTGCATGTCACCACTTGTGTACATGTGTATGTTGTAGCCAGTGTTGTCTACATGTGTATGTTGTAGCCAGTGTTGTCTACATGTGTATGTTGTAGCCAGTGTTGTGCATGTTGTGTATGTTGTAGCAAGTGTTGTCTACATGTGTATGTTGTAGCCAGTGTTGTCTACATGTGTATGTTGTAGCCAGTGTTGTCTACATGTGTATGTTGTAGCCAGTGTTGTCTACATGTGTATGTTGTAGCCAGTGTTGTCTACATGTGTATGTTGTAGCCAGTGTTGTCTACATGTGTATGTTGTAGCCAGTGTTGTCTATATGTGAATGTTATCGCCAGTGTTGTCTACATGTGTATGTTGTAGCCAGTGTTGTGCATGTTGTGTATGTTGTAGCCAGTGTTGTCTACATGTGTATGTTGTAGCCAGTGTTGTCTACATGTGTATGTTGTAGCCAGTGTTGTCTACATGTGTATGCTGTAGCCAGTGTTGTCTACATGTGTATGTTGTAGCCAGTGTTGTGCATGTTGTGTATGTTGTAGCCAGTGTTGTCTACATGTGTATGTTGTAGCCAGTGTTGTCTACATGTGTATGTTGTAGCCAGTGTTGTCTACATGTGTTTGTTGTAGCCAGTGTTGTGTATGTTGTAGCCAGTGTTGTCTACATGTGTATGTTGTAGCCAGTGTTGTGTATGTTGTAGCCAGTGATGTCTACATGTGTATGTTGTAGCCAGTGTTGTCTACATGTGTATGTTGTAGCCAGTGTTGTGTATGTTGTAGCCAGTGATGTCTACATGTGTATGTTGTAGCCAGTGTTGTCTACATGTGTATGTTGTAGCCAGTGTTGTGTATGTTGTAGCCAGTGTTGTCTACATGTGTATGTTGTAGCCAGTGTTGTGTATGTTGTAGCCAGTGTTGTGTATGTTGTAGCCAGTGTTGTCTACATGTGTATGTTGTAGCCAGTGTTGTCTACATGTGTATGTTGTAGCCAGTGTTGTCTACATGTGTATGTTGTAGCCAGTGTTGTCTATATGTGAATGTTATCGCCAGTGTTGTCTACATGTGTATGTTGTAGCCAGTGTTGTGCATGTTGTGTATGTTGTAGCCAGTGTTGTCTACATGTGTATGTTGTAGCCAGTGTTGTCTACATGTGTATGTTGTAGCCAGTGTTGTCTACATGTGTATGCTGTAGCCAGTGTTGTCTACATGTGTATGTTGTAGCCAGTGTTGTGCATGTTGTGTATGTTGTAGCCAGTGTTGTCTACATGTGTATGTTGTAGCCAGTGTTGTCTACATGTGTATGTTGTAGCCAGTGTTGTCTACATGTGTTTGTTGTAGCCAGTGTTGTGTATGTTGTAGCCAGTGTTGTCTACATGTGTATGTTGTAGCCAGTGTTGTGTATGTTGTAGCCAGTGATGTCTACATGTGTATGTTGTAGCCAGTGTTGTCTACATGTGTATGTTGTAGCCAGTGTTGTGTATGTTGTAGCCAGTGATGTCTACATGTGTATGTTGTAGCCAGTGTTGTCTACATGTGTATGTTGTAGCCAGTGTTGTGTATGTTGTAGCCAGTGTTGTCTACATGTGTATGTTGTAGCCAGTGTTGTGTATGTTGTAGCCAGTGTTGTCTACATGTGTATGTTGTAGCCAGTGTTGTGTATGTTGTAGCCAGTGTTGTCTACATGTGTATGTTGTAGCCAGTGTTGTGTATGTTGTAGCCAGTGATGTCTACATGTATGTGTCTGACAGGGAGGGGTGACAGTCTATGGGACGTGTTCACAACAACTGAAGACGGCCCCATGTCCTACCATCACTACATGGCCGATGTACAGAGTCTGAAAGATATTGGGGTAAGGACCAAGGGATTGTCGGAATGTCAAAAAGAAGCACTTGGTACTTATAGAGTTTAACATCACACCGATTCTTTGTCAAGTTCCAAGGTTTGGAACCTGAGCATAGTGACATACACATACAAGTTCATGGTTTGTCAGATATCTGCATTGTTTCATGTTTCTAACGAGGCATCGCCGGTTACCCCTGCATGACGTATATGAACCTGACAAGAAACTATTGATACCATCTGTTTTATGTGTATGAACACCGTAATATTTAATAAGTTATTGATCTATGATGTGTCTATGTAGGCCAAGGTGTATTACCTCTCGCTGTCCTGGCCTCGGATCCTGCCAAACGGTGACTCTGGAAATATAAATCGTGAGGGAATCAAGTTCTACCACAAGCTGCTGATGGCTGTCACGGAGGCTGGCATCCAGCCTATAGTCACCCTCCATCACTGGGACGTCCCTGCTGCCTTCAGCAATGGCTGGCTTAGCGAGGATATTGTAGAAGCCTTTGGCAACTATTCAAGAATATGTTTTAAAGAGTTCGGTGGAAAGGTCAGTAGAATAAGGAAAATGACAATATTAATGACGATGATAATGATAATAGTAATCATAATGACGATGAAAATGATAATGATCATAATAATGAAGATGATAATGACGATGAAAATGATAATGATCATAATAATGAGAATGACGATGAAAATGAAAATGACGATGATAATGGTAATGAAGATGATAATGACGATGGTAATGATAATGACATTAATAATGATAATGACGATGATAATGATAATAGTAATGAAGATCATATTGATAATGACGATGGTAATGATAATGGCGATGATAATACAACCGATGCTTGCCGCAAGAGGCGATCATGCTTGTTGTAAGAGGCGACTAACGGGACCGGGTTGTCAGAATCGCTGACTCGTATCCCAATTGCGTATGATGATACTCATGACGTCAATCACTGGATTGTCTGGTCCAGATTAGATTGTTTACAGATCCCCGTCATATAGTTGGAATTTTGTGCTTCGTTAAACAACAAACAAACAAAACATTAACATTTTGCATTCAAGTGAAACATTTGGTATACTAACGAAAACGTCATGTTAGGGAACAATTATTAAGAAGCCTTATGAAAATGTTTATAGAATGTCAGACCCTCATGTTCTGATCAGTCGATACGTAGGTGAGCTACATGGTCTTGTGCCCCAGCAGTTGGGTGACAGTCCTGTAACACTAACGCCGCCAATGAATGATGAGGATGCAGGTTCAGTGTCAGTGTGATGGGTGTGTCTCCTCCACAGGTGAAAATGTGGATTCCTCTGAATGATCCGAACAAAATGGCGTTGCTAGGATACGAGCAGGGCAACCACGCCCCTGGTATTAGAGGCGAAGGTTATACAGCCGCACATAACATGCTGAAGGCTCACGCCTCCGTCTACCGAATATACCAGCGAGAGTTCCAACATTCCCAGGGAGGTGAGTAATAGCATTCAGTGTTACATACCTGTGTAGTCAGTTCTTCTTGAATCTTATGACGTCATTTACAGTGCGATGACGTAACGTTTATTAGCATGACGTAATAAAATAAAGATGTGCTATGTATAAGATAGTATAAATCACTATGTGATACGATGGTGTACGCTTAGACAAGTCATGTTATATAAGGAGATTCCATTCCATAACTATAAGAGCACCAGCATGTTCTCCCCTTCCGAGATTACCATGATAACGATTCAGATCAATGCTTAACGACAGGATGAGGGATTATTTACAGATTAAAATAAAAAATGCAGCAAAGAGGGTTTGGGTGATCCTGGCACAGTCAAGCTGGTTAGGCTCATCATCAGCTCAGGGCCCTTGCCCCCTCTACACGCAGCCCAGACAGCGAATGGGACTTCTCCCAGGAAGCGCTGCCTAGTCAAACCCACCCACAACTTCTCGGAGAATATGAAAACTTCCCAACATTGAAGCCTTCTGCATTACCCAGGTTGTCAGGAGGGCTGTATTCCTGATAGCAAACCCGGGCACTCTCCCAATGTCAGTCAAAATATTGGGAGATACCAAACTTAAGGCACCGAGAACAATAAGGAGCCGGACAACTTGGTACTTTGGATGCAAGCGTGACATTTCGAAAGCGAGGTCTGCATGTTTGCCATGTTTTTCCTCAATCTTGGCAATCGCATTACTGGCCTGGATATGTCTGAGGCTGTATACGGGCCTATTCCAAAGGATTTTGTAGTTATCATTTTCCATGACGCCCTCTACATATTCCGGGTCGTACCATGGGTGGACCTGTATGTCAAAACCACAAGCATGGCGAAGACTGTAATAAAATGATCGAGCCACCCCACTCGCTTAAGATATTGTGTCTGTGCCAAAGCTGGGCATCCACTCACAATGTGTTGGACAGTCTCATTAAATTCATTACATAATCTACATTTCATATTCACATTTTGATGCAAAATCACACATTGGCTGTTTCGAGTTGGAAGTGTCTGGTACTGAGCAGCAAACAGAAAGCTTGCTCACTTTTCACTTTTCAGGCCAGACGACTTCATCCAAGCGAAGGACTCTGCAGGATTGCTGATCTTCTCAGCAGATTTTTTTCTCCTTGAAAAACTGAGTCTGGGCCGACTTGATATGGCACTTCGCCTGGTTGACACTTATTTCTGTACCGTCCAGCAGAACAGAACCATCAACAAAATCAACACCGACATTGAGATTATGTCCCACATTCTTGGCTCGTTTTAGAAAACTGTGGAATGCCTTGTTTTCATCATGAGTCTTGACATGCTTAACAAGAGTATCATCAGACAAATAAATGTGTGCAAAAGTGCACAAAACAATTCTGTCATGAAGAGCCTCCACATTAATCAATCCACGCCCTCCCATCATAATTGGTAAATATAAGCGATTGAGGGAAGAGCGAGGGTGGTGGAATCTATTGTCTGACATAATTCTTCGTGTGAGGGCGTCAATACCCTCAGTTCTTGTTTCGTCCAATCAACAAACCCAAAAGAATTTGAAAGGACGGGCACAGCATAAGTATTTGTGGCTTTGACTTTATTGCGAGCGTTCAGCTCTGATCTCCAGATTTTCTTTAGTCTAATTTTGTACTCTGCCCGAAGTCTGTCCTTGATATGGGCATTCTGGAGTTTGTCCCTAATCTGCATCCCTAAGTACGTATAGGCCTGACCTTCCACAAGATGTTCAATAACTCCTCCTCTAGAAAGCCTCTCCCTGAAAGTCTGTCTGGGCCGATTTGATATGGCACTTCGTTTGGTTAACACTCATATCTGCACCATCCAGCAGTAGAGAACCATCAACAAGACCAACACTGATTTTTGAGGTTATGTCCAAATGCTCCTTTAAGAAAACTGTTGAATGCCTTGTTTTCATCATGAGTCTTGACATGCTTCACGAGAGAATCGTCAGACAAAGAATTGTGTGCAAAAATGCACAAAAGAATTCTATCATGAAGAGCCTCCGCGTTTATCAAACCACAATATGGTAAATATTATTTATAATTATTTTAGGCAAGGTCGGATTAGCAGTTCGCTCGGCGTGGTTTATCCCGAAGACATCACGTGACCCTGGAGACTGGTTCGGGCAAGCTCTATCGTTTGCCTACAAATCTGATTGGATGGCTGACCCAGTATTTTTAGATGGAAATTACCCGGCTGTGATGAGACAGGAAGTCCACTTGAGAAGCAAGTACCGCAACATGACATCGAGGCTGCCGGTTCTTACAACGGAGGAGCAGAAAATGATAAAAGGTTAGTGATAAGATAGTCAAAAACTTACAAGATAAACAGATTTGATTTTATATGAACTACTAATCAAAAGAAAGTATACAGCCTCTTGGACAGCTTATAAAATATAGTTCATTGGACATGTATTTTGTTTAATCTTTTATGGTACTAAAGCAAAAACGTACCAAGAAGGAAGACAGCAGGCTGTCATCATAGGAAGATATTTGGTGTTCCACCAGGGTCTGTCTTAGGCCCCGCGCTGTTTGTTTTATATGCAAACAGTCTTAGACGTAACACTTAAAAACATGATGTCGACCTCCAACTGTCTGCTGATGACACATCACACACTCAAAGATGTCGTAACTGAAGCATTGATGATAGTATTTGTTTGTTGTCTAACGCCGCACTCAGCAATATTCCAACTATATGACGGCGGTCTGTAAATAATCGAGTCTGGACCAGACAATCCAGTGATTGACACCATGAGCATCGATTGGGATACGATGACATGCAGTCAACCAAGTGAGGGAGCCTGACCACCAGAACCCGTTAGTCGCTTCTAACGACAAGCATAGTCGCCTTTTACGGCAAGCATGGGTTGCTGAAGATCAATTCTAAACCGGATCTTCAAGGGTCGTAAAATGTAATGGAAGTGTATTAAATCGTTTATGATAGATAAGCTTGTGAAAACGTGCGCAACGCATGTTTTTGGTTAAAGCATGGTTTGCTAAAGACCTATTCTACACAAACCTCAATTATATATTACAGTGATGCACGAATCTTGACTTCTGTGATGTATGATACATAACAGTTACATGAAGCTTGACAGCTGTGATATATAATATATAACAGTGTAACACGAAGCCTGACTGCTGTGACATATAATATATACCAGTGTTACACGAAGCTTGGCTGCTGTGATATATAATATATAACAGTGTTACAAGATGCTTTTCTGCTATGATATATGATACATAACAGTGTTACGTAAATCTTAACAGTTGTGATATATGATATATAACAGTGTTTTAGAAGCTTGACAGCAGTGATATATAATATATAACAGTGTTACGTAAAGCTTGACAGCTGTGAAATATAATATAAAACAGTGTTATAGAAGCTTGACAGCAGTGATATATAATATATAACAGTGTTACGTAAAGCTTGACAGCTGTGAAATATAATATAAAACAGTGTTATAGAAGCTTGACAGCAGTGATATATAATATATGACAGTGTTACATGAAGCTTGACAGCTGTGAAATATAATATAAAACAGTGTTATAGAAGCTTGACAGCAGTGATATATATTACAGTGTTATAGAAGCTTGACAGCTGTGATATATAATATATAACAGTGTTATAGAAGCTTGACAACAGTGATATACACCCATGCCACAGGTTCTGCGGACTTCCTGGGTATCAGCTACTACACAGCACACCAGGTGGAGAGGGTCACAAACTACCCCCCGACTGCAGCACCCAGCATCGCTGATGACGTGTCCGTCAAGACGTCTGCCGACAACTCTTGGCCCAGGTAGAATCACCGGGAATCTACAGATCACATTTAGTTTACTGTTAGAGTGAGATGGAAGGAGACAGTTAGAGTCACCGGGAATCTACATATCACATTTAGTTTACTGTTAGAGTGAGATGGAAGGAGACAGGTAGAGTCACCGGGAATCTACAGATCACATTTAGTTTACTGTTAGAGTGAGATGGAAGGAGACAGGTAGAGTCACCGGGAATCTACATATCACATTTAGTTTACTGTTAGAGTGAGATGGAAGGAGACAGATAGAGTCCCCGGGAATCTACAGATCACATTTAGTTTACTGTTAGAGTGAGATGGAAGGAGACAGATGGGGTCCCCGGGAACCTACATATCACATTTAGTTCACTGTTAGAGTGAGATGGAAGGAGCTAGGTAGAGTCACCGGGAATCTACAGATCACATTTAGTTCACTGTTAGAGTGAGATGGAAGGAGACAGATGGGGTCTCCGGGAATCTACAGATCACATTTAGTTTACTGTTAGAGTGAGATGGAAGGAGACAGATGGGGTCTCCGGGAATCTACAGATCACATTTAGTTTACTGTTAGAGTGAGATGGAAGGAGACAGGTAGAGTCACCGGGAATCTACATATCACATTTAGTTTACTGTTAGAGTGAGATGGAAGGAGACAGATAGAGTCCCCGGGAATCTACAGATCACATTTAGTTTACTGTTAGAGTGAGATGGAAGGAGACAGATGGGGTCTCCGGGAATCTACAGATCACATTTAGTTTACTGTTAGAGTGAGATGGAAGGAGACAGATAGAGTCACCGGGAATCTACATATCACATTTAGTTTACTGTTAGAGTGAGATGGAAGGAGACAGATAGAGTCCCCGGGAATCTACAGATCACATTTAGTTTACTGTTAGAGTGAGATGGAAGGAGACAGATGGGGTCCCCGGGAATCTATATATCACATTTAGTTTACTGTTAGAGTGAGATGGATGGCTACAGGTAGAGTCACCGGGAATCTACAGATCACATTTAGTTTACTGTTAGAGTGAGATGGAAGGAGACAGATGGGGTCTCCGGGAATCTACAGATCACATTTAGTTTACTGTTAGAGTGAGATGGATGGCTACAGGTAGAGTCACCGGGAATCTACAGATCACATTTAGTTTACTGTTAGAGTGAGATGGAAGGAGACAGATGGGGTCCCCGGGAATCTACAGATCACATTTAGTTTACTGTTAGAGTGAGATGGAAGGAGACAGATAGAGTCACCGGGAATCTACAGATCACATTTAGTTTACTGTTAGAGTGAGATGGATGGCTACAGGTAGGGTCACCGGGAATCTACAGATCACATTTAGTTTACTGTTAGAGTGAGATGGATGGCTTCAGGTAGAGTCACCGGGAATCTACAGATCACATTTAGTTTACTGTTAGAGTGAGATGGAAGGAGACAGATTGGGCCCCGGGAATCTACATATCACATTTAGTTTACTGTTAGAGTGAGATGGAAGGAGACAGGTAGAGTCACCGGGAATCTACAGATCACATTTAGTTTACTGTTAGAGTGAGACGGAAGGAGACAGATAGAGTCACCGGGAATCTACATATCACATTTAGTTTACTGTTAGAGTGAGATGGAAGGAGACAGATGGGGTCCCCGGGAATCCACATATCACATTTAGTTTACTGTTAGAGTGAGATGGAAGGAGACAGATAGAGTCACCGGGAATCTACATATCACATTTAGTTTACTGTTAGAGTGAGATGGAAGGAGACAGATGGGGTCCCCGGGAATCTACAGATCACATTTAGTTTACTGTTAGAGTGAGATGGAAGGAGACAGATGGGGTCCCCGGGAATCTACAGATCACATTTAGTTTACTGTTAGAGTGAGATGGAAGGAGACAGATGGGGTCCCCGGGAATCTACAGATCACATTTAGTTTGCTGTTAGAGTGAGATGGAAGGAGACAGATGGGGTCCCCGGGAATCTACAGATCACATTTAGTTTACTGTTAGAGTGAGATGGAAGGAGACAGATAGAGTCCCCGGGAATCTACATATCACATTTAGTTTACTGTTAGAGTGAGATGGAAGGAGACAGATGGGGTCCCCGGGAATCTACAGATCACATTTAGTTTACTGTTAGAGTGAGATGGAAGGAGACAGATGGGGTCCCCGGGAATCTACAGATCACATTTAGTTTACTGTTAGAGTGAGATGGAAGGAGACAGATGGGGTCCCCGGGAATCTACAGATCACATTTAGTTTGCTGTTAGAGTGAGATGGAAGGAGACAGATGGGGTCCCCGGGAATCTACAGATCACATTTAGTTTACTGTTAGAGTGAGATGGAAGGAGACAGATAGAGTCACCGGGAATCATCATATCACATTTAGTTTACTGTTAGAGTGAGATGGATGGCTACAGGTAGAGTCACCGGGAATCCACAGATCAAATTTAGTTTACTGTTAGAGTGAGATGGAAGGAGACAGGTAGAGTCACCGGGAATCTACAGATCACATTTAGTTTACTGTTAGAGTGAGATGGAAGGAGACAGATGGGGTCCCCGGGAATCCACATATCACATTTAGTTTACTGTTAGAGTGAGATGGAAGGAGACAGATGGGGTCCCCGGGAATCTACGTATCACATTTAGTTTACTGTTAGAGTGAGTTGGAAGGATACGTTCCTGTATTATTTGGAATAAAACACAGTTCAGGCATCGCATGAGTGAAGTTGGGGAACAGTGGCCACTGACGTCAAGGAAGTGAAGCACGTGATGCCACCGACCAAATGACGCCCTTAGTAAAAGGTCGTGACCGTCCACAACAACTTGGTTCTTTCGTCACACTCTTTGAATCTTTGAACATGTGTTATGCATGGCACGAGTTCCCATTGCCATGACACACATGTTTTAAACTATATTATGAAATCCTTGTCCCACCAAACCCCTCCCTGTGTTGGCCGCCTCCGTGGTCTAGTTGTAGAGCGGAAGGTCCGGGCCGGGGTTCGATCTCCGTCCGCGTCATACCAAAAGACGATAAAAGATGGTACTTGTTGTTACCCTGTCTGGCGCTCGGCATTAAGCTGCTAAAACGAGGTCTGGTCGGCTCGGAGTCAGAATATTGTACTGTGTCTAAGTGGGGTATTCATGTGAAACTGCGGCATGGTATCTCAGTGTGCTACACACACACGCACGTGCATGCACGTTGCTACATAAGTCTTGGACACGACGTTAAACCCAATTTCACCTCTCCTCGGGGCGGCCGGGTAGCCTAGTGGTTAAAGCGTTCGCTCGTCACGCCGAAGACCCGGGTTCGATTCCCGACATGGGTACAATGAGCGAAGCCCATTTCTGGTGTCCCCCGCCGTGAAATTGCTGGAATATTGCTAAAAACGGCGTAAAACCATACTCACTTACTCACTCACCTCTCCTCATCTACCTGTGTTGGTTCCAGGACAAATCTGGACTGGCTCCGAGTCTACCCGAAGGGAATCCGTCAAATCCTGAGACGAGCTAGAGAGCGTTATGGCAACATTCCAATTTACGTCACTGGGAACGGCGTGTCCGACGACCCGGGCACCACCGACGACAAGCTCCGGGCATCATACATTGCGCATCACACCAATGAAATTCTTAAAGGTAATAGAACAATATCATGGAGACCTTCGAGAATGGTTCCTAATATTACTAATATTATTATTGGTTAATTGGCTGGTCTGTCATAGCGATATAATGATATGGCTTCAGTCACACACCATTTAAAATAAGTATAAAACGTCAATGCTACAGAATGACCAGTGTCGATTTTCCAACAAAGCAGATTCCATTGAGCGTAATAGGCAAAATAGCGGTGACAACTGTAATGAATGCGTCACTGAAAATCCATGGTGACGTAAGGTGTTCGCGAAAAAGGCAAGCTTACAATTATCAATGAGTTTATGCGATGTTGACTTTGGGGACACATAGATAGAAACATCGAAGAATGTTGTATCGTTTTACTTTCAGGATTAGTCAACTAGATAAAAACACCAAGAAATGATGTCTCGGTTTCTCTACATGATTACACAACTAGATTAAAACACCAAAAGATGCTGTTTTCGTTTCAGTTACGAGATTAAATAACCAGATCAAAACACCATTGAATCTATTTTCGTGTCAGTTACAAGATAAGTCAGCGAGATAAAAGCATCTTAGAATGATGTATTTTTTCCCTATAAGATTATACAACTAGATTAAAACACAAGTGAATGTCGTATCGTTTCAGCAACAAGATTAGATGCTGTTTAGTTTCAGCTAAAATATTAGACATGTTAATCATAATACTGAAGAATTCTGATTCTTTTCAGCTATAAAATTAGACAACGTGGACGTCCGTGGCTACGTCGTTTACAGCCTCCTCGACGGCTTTGAGTGGAGAGACGGCTACAACGTCAGCTTTGGCCTTTTCGCCATCAACAAGACTGACCCGGCCAGAGCGAGGGTCCCTAAGCTCTCGTCAAAATACTACTCTCACATCATAAAGAACAACGGCTTCGTGTCTCCACCCATGTCCACGACGGAAGCGCCTGTGAGGACAACAGTGATATACAGAAACTGTCCGACTTCACATGGCACAAATATGGTGTTTTCACCAATAATAGTTTTATTCGTGCTCTTCTTGTCTTCAGCACTTTAACTTTTGATGAGAAATGACACTTCTTTATTAACAATATGCTATCAGTATTCTAGAAAATGAAGAAGCGAATATTTTTTGAAGAATTGATGGGGTGCGGTGTGGCAAGGTGGAGGGGAGGGCACTCGCCGTCTGTGAGCTGACAGTACGTATAGCAGTCACTGAATCAGCGTGGAATTAACGGCCATTCCAAGAGTCGCAGTGATCCAGGAACTATATGTATTGTATTGGATTACGTGGGTTGGTATAGATGCAGATGTTCGCAAGAAGTTTGTAGTGATTTATAAACACTTTTCGTAAGATGGTATATTTTTTTACCAAATGTAATTAGGAATGTACATGTAGTGAAATTTAAAGTTTCGATGTTGTGACGTCTAGGATTGAAGTGCTTCATCCGTTGTTGTCCTACCGCTTCATTAATCAGTGTATAGCCAGATCTGTTCCCAGCTGGAGTAGGATGCTAGATTGCTACAAAGATGGAGGACGATATTTCAGATCGGGTGGTTGAAATACATGAGCCGGCTGATGTGTCATCGCTCATGTAGCCCCGCACCTGATTTACAGACCAGTGTGATGCAGATGTAATATTGTTGAATGTGACTTGTTACATTCACACTTACACAACACATAGTGAGTGCCGTCTATAGCCAGGTCCTACACTTGGTACTGACCTTCGTGGACTTGTATTCTTCAGCCCCACCTTGTTTGATTACGTATTTGGATAACGGGCGGTTCGTGACGAGAAGCATCTAAATAATTATATTTTGTATACCGTAATATACATAAAACTAGTTATCCGTATTTTGTGCACCTGTTTTGTAAGTAAGCATGGCAATAAAGCAACACATGTTTTTTATTATATTTTCCATTTAGGAACATACTAAACCAATTATTCTCCACATCTTTTTCGAATGGTGCATAGTCCCCCAATCGATACGTAAACACTCGTTGTGTTTGTGGCCATTGTTATCAACATGATCACATTGTGGAATGACTGTGTTAACGTGGCAATGAAGAATACAGCTACTTGATAGGTCTGTTGTTGAGGTTGTGTTCATGACTGTGTTAACGTGGCAATGAAGAATACAGCTACTTGATAGGTCTGTTGTTGAGGTTGTGTTCATGACTGTGTTAACGTGGCAATGAAGAATACAGCTACTTGATAGGTCTGTTGTTGAGGTTGTGTTCATGTGTTTTCCATAGTGACACACTGAGTTGCGCATACAAGGTCGCAGTATGCACACAAAACCCCTAGCGACTGAGAGCACTGCAATCATCATTGAGGGAAACAAACACTGCCTCGACCCGGGCGTGTTTTAACAGATTTTCAGGATAACCAGGGCGTCATGTTGATTTTAGTGCCAACGGCAATTTCAAATTGATGCCAATGAGACCAATAACTTCAATACGTACCATATATGGTTGAATATTGTTTTATGATAAATTCCCATCATTGCTGTAAAGGTGTTGTATGCGTGGAGGGAGTGTGGGCAGTACCACATGTATGTTACCTGTGTTGTACATAGCATCATGGTCTGGTTCAAACCAGTGAAGATCTATTGATGAGAAAGAATGAATAAAATGTAACAAGAAGAACGATCAGTCAATCTGTGTTTATTTCCAGCAGACCAGCCACATTGGTACATGGGGTATATTCACAGTGGTACACGGGGTACATTCACAGTGGTACATGGGATACATTCACATTGGTACATGGAATATATTTACAGTGGTACATGGAATACATTCACAGTGGTACATGGAATACATTCACAGCGGTACATTGAATACATTCACATTGATACATGGAATACATTCACAGTGGTACATGGAATACATTCACAGTGGTTCATGGAATACATTCACAGTGGTACATGGAATACATTCACAGTGGTTCAAGGAATACATTTACAGCAGTTCATGGAATACATTGACAATGGTTCATGGAATACATTCACAGTGGTACATGGAATATATACAGTGGTTCATGGAATACTTTCACAGTGATACATGGAATACAATCACAGTGGTACATGGAATACATTCACAGTGGAACATGGAATACATTCACATTGGTTCATGAAATACATTCACAGTGGTACATGGAATACATTCACAGGTGTACATGGAATGCATTCACAGTGGTACATGGAATACATTCACAGTGGTACATGGAATACATTCACAGTGGTACATGGAATACATTCACAGTAGTACAATCAATACATTCACAGTAGTACATGGAATACATTCACAGTGGTACATGGAATACATTCACAGTAGTACAATCAATACATTCACAGTAGTACATGGAATACATTCACAGTGGTACATGGAATACATTCACAGTAGTACAATCAATACATTCACAGTAGTACATGGAATACATTCACAGTGGTACATGAAATACATTCACGTTGGTACATAAAATACATTCTCAGTAGTACATCGAATACATTCACAGTGGTACATGGAATACATCCACAGATGTACATGGAATATATTCACAGTGGTACATGGAATACATTCACATTGGTACATGAAATACATCCACAGATGTACATGGAATATATTCACAGTGGTACATGGAATATATTCACAGTGGTACATGGAATATATTCACAGTGGTACATGGAATACATTCACAGATGTTCTTTGAATACATTCACAGATGTACATGGAATACATTCACAGATGTACATGGAATATATTTACGGTGGTACATGGAATACATTCACAGTAGTACATGGAATACATTCACATTGGTTCATGAAATACATTCACAGTGGTACATGGAATACATTCACAGCGGTACATTGAATGCATTCACCGTGGTACATGGAATACATTCACAGTAGTACATGGAATACATTCACAGTGGTACATGGAATACATTCACATTGATACATGGAATACATTCACAGTGGTACATGAAATACATTCACATTGGTACATGAAATACATTCTCAGTAGTACATCGATTACATTCACAGTGGTACATGGAATACATTCACAGTAGTACATGGAATACATTCACAGTGGTACATGGAATACATTCACAGTGGTTCATGGAATACATTCACAGTGGTACATTGAATGCATTCACCGTGGTACATGGAATACATTCACATTGGTACATGGAATACATTCACAGTGGTACATGGAATACATTCACAGTGGTTTATGGAATACATTCACAGTGGTACATGGAATACATTCACAGCGGTACATTGAATACATTCACATTGATACATGGAATACATTCACAGTGGTACATGGAATACATTCACAGTAGTACATGGAATACATTCACATTGGTACATGAAATACATTCACAGTAGTACATGAAATACATTCACAGTGGTACATGGAATACATTCACAGTAGTACATGGAATACATTCACAGTAGTACATGGAATACATTCACAGTGGTACATGGAATACATTCACATTGGTACATGAAATACATTCTCAGTAGTACATCGAATACATTCACAGTGGTACATGGAATACATTCACAGTAGTACATGGAATACATTCACGGTGGTACATGGAATACATTCACAGTAGTACATGGAATACATTCACAGTGGTACATGGAATACATTCACAGTAGTACATGGAAAACATTCACAGTAGTACATGGAATACATTCACAGTGGTACATGGAATACATTCACATTGGTACATGAAATACATTCTCAGTAGTACATCGAATACATTCACAGTGGTACATGGAATACATTCACAGTAGTACATGGAATACATTCACATTGGTACATGAAATACATCCACAGATGTACATGGAATATATTCACAGTGGTACATGGAATATATTCACAGATGTACATGGAATATATTCACAGTGGTACATGGAATACATTCACAGATGTTCTTTGAATACATTCACAGATGTACATGGAATACATTCGCAGTGGTTTATGGAATACATTCACAGTGGTACATGGAATACATTCACAGTGGTACATGGAATATATTCACAGTGGTTCATGGAATACATTGACAGCAGTTCATGGAATACATTGACAATGGTTCATGGAATACATTCACAGTGGTACATGGAATATATACAGTGGTTCATGGAATACTTTCACAGTGATACATGGAATACATTCACATTGGTACATGAAATACATTCACAGTGGTACATTGAATACATTCACAGTGATAATGGAATAAATTGACATTGGTACATGAAATACCTTCACATTGGTAAAGGGAATACATTGACAATGGTTCATTGAATACATTCACAGTGGTACATGGAATTGTTGACAATGGTACATGGAATGCATTCACAGTGGTACATGGAATACATTGACAATGGTACATGGAATACATTCACAGTGGTAAAGGGAATACATTGACAATGGTTCATGGAATACATTCAAGTGACACTTGAACTAAATTCATATTGGTAAAAAGAGTACATTAATATATCCACATTGGTACGTGGACGCGGTATTTCTCTGCATCTCTTAGCACTCGCCCTAACGAAGGTGATATGAACTCATTATTTCCTAGTACTGGTCCAAACGGGGGTAATATAACTTGAATATATTATCTAGCACTGATCCCACCGAGGGTAATTAGCCTTCAACATTTCTTACCACTGATCTAAGTGATAAGACCTCAATATTCCAAGCAGTATTCGGGAATACCCCAGCCTAGGCCGGTCATAATAATGACCTTAGCTGGTCTGGAATAAGATCAGGTTAAACCAACATTGTATTCCGTGACCATGAAACAGGGAACATGTTTTTTCATGTAAACCGACTTGGAAAACACTGACTATTCGTATATTTTTGACAAAACCAAAGCTCCTGTATTTTGTTGTTTTTTAAATCTTATCTTAGGCATTTTTCCATGCTGGTCAATACGAGGTAAACCACTCATGCGTTTATTTATCCCTTTATGTTTAAGTCGTTGTGTTTCTGTGTGGACATCAACAAATCTTTTTAATGTTTGGAATACAATGGTTTTTTTTATTCAAATCATACTTTAGCCATGTGTTGATGTGACAGATGCACTGTAGGTGTTATTTTCAAAGAATGGTAAACTGCATTTCACAGTGTTTCCCAAACCAATGTTTATGGTTGTTTGTCCTATCTACTGGGTATTTAGGTGTTTCATGTTTAGTAGGACGTAGGCGGAACTGAATGTCCACACCAAAAGCATGTCTAACTGATTTAGAAAGAATTTCGCCAATGGTGTTGGATAGTTATTGAGTTCGTAGGTCTATGTTGTAAAATATTCGTGAACAATGTAATTCCGTGTTTGCGCGTTAGTAACAGACGCTATGTGTTCGACGCGAGTATCTGTCCATACGCTGATGCATTCATTGTGGCCTGGCACGTTCACCAATCAGTCCGGTGTTTCAGTGGTATTTCCTACTAATATTGATCGGGACACTGTTCGTGCTTAAAACAACGCTGAAACAAAACTGAAGATATTGTTAACATAGAGCAATGCCTTTCCCAAACTGAAAACAAATGATTCTCATTAACAATAAAAATTGAACATCTTCCATGGATGGCAGTGAGATCAAAGGCAATCACAACCTTAAAAAACAATGGATTAGTTTGGCTTCAACAATCAAAACATAGAAATACAATCACAACCTTAAAAAACAATGGATTAGTTTGGCTTCAACAATCAAAACATAGAAATACAATCACAACCATAAACAAACAGTGGACTAGTTTGACTTCTACAATCAAAACATAGAAATACAATCACAACCTATAAAACAATGGATTAGTTTGACTTCTACAATCAAAACATAGAAATACAATCACAACCATAAAAAAACAGTGGACTAGTTTGACTTCTACAATCAAAACATAGAAATACAATCACAACCTATAAAACAATGGATTAGTTTGACTTCTACAATCAAAACATAGAAATACAATCACAACCATAAAAAAACAGTGGACTAGTTTGACTTCTACAATCAAAACATAGAAATACAATCACAACCTATAAAACAATGGATTAGTTTGACTTCTACAATCAAAACAAAGAAAAACAATCACAACCATAAAAAAACAGTGGACTAGTTTGACTTCTACAATCAAAACATAGAAATACAATCACAACCTATAAAACAATGGATTAGTTTGACTTCTACAATCAAAACATAGAAATACAATCACAACCATAAAAAAACAGTGGACTAGTTTGACTTCTACAATCAAAACATAGAAATACAATCACAACCTATAAAACAATGGATTAGTTTGACTTCTACAATCAAAACATAGAAAAACAATCACAACCTATAAAACAATGGATTAGTTTGACTTCTACAATCAAAACATAGAAATACAATCACAACCATAAAAAATCAGTGGACTAGTTTGACTTCTACAATCAAAACATAGAAATACAATCACAACCTATAAAACAATGGATTAGTTTGACTTCTACAATCAAAACATAGAAAAACAATCACAACCTATAAAACAATGGATTAGTTTGACTTCTACAATCAAAACATAGAAATACAATCACAACCATAAAAAAACAGTGGACTAGTTTGACTTCTACAATCAAAACATAGAAATACAAT